TTTCCAATGAGCAAACCAATGGGAATTAGACTTAATTATTTCCAGTGCTGTGATTCTTGAAAACCTTGTGTTCGAGGAAAGCATCACTTTTGTTATGAAAGAGAAATGAAGCTTAAGTGTATAAACAAACACCAAGTTAGTTGCGGTTTTCAAATGCATAAGGTAGTTTGGGGTACTCAAGGGCAACGTGAATAATTTACATATGAAGTAACGTTGCACTTTTTCTATTCCCTCAAACCTCTGATACCCCCAAACTTGACAGCCGTAACACATCCCCGCGCGAGATACAGCATTAAACACACTAAATTTTGCTTTAATAGGGACATATTCTTGCGCAATAATAGGGCTCACCGTTATGTATCCTCATCGAACTATTCCAAATTATCGGCGTCCTCGTTGCCTCTCAGCCCTGATGAAACGAGGGTAATTTTGTCGTTTCCAATGTCTGGAACTTAATGCAATCCCAAACGACTATGGATTTCACTACCGATGAAGTACTTGAGAGGCGCCTGGCTGACCGAGTAAGATAGTTATTCTTTTATTGGTAACACCTAGCCATTTGATCTCCCTAGTACAATGTTCACTAAACAGTAGACTGTTCTCAAGGTTTTGATAAATTTTAGACCTTGGTTTAATTCCATAAATACCTGCTCCTGACCCATAATCGCCCTTTGAGCCATCTGTAAGCCAGATGATCGACATTAACTGTAATCCATTTTCCAAGTCTGCTCTATTGGGTGTTTTGGTTTGAAATCTCTTGTCTAAATTAAATTTTGGGATCATAGCTCGACAGGCTTCTCTAAAAACTCAGCTTGAAGTTTGAACGAATTGCTTTTTATGCGGAAGGTTATTGGTGCCAAGCACACATGAATTGTTGTTTTAGTCTCTTCCTATATGAAGATATATTGTCGGTAGATTTAGGATTTTCAGCGAAGCAGTGTAGATCGTTTTTAATGCTACAGTAATGCCCAGGCTAGCCTTATAACCGTCCTGAGGATTCTGACAACTCTCAGCGGTATCGTTTCCGCCCACCTAACCACCGATCTTTAAGTTATTGTGTTTCTAACAACTGCTGACTGTAATCATAGTTTGAAAATGTATGGATCTAGTCCCAAGCTTTTCTCACAAATTTTTGTCCAAACGGTTGGTTTTGTAGGCACAGCCAAGGCCGCCATATGCCATTGAGGACTTGTTGCTAAAGTCAGTGGTATCGTCTGCGACGATTTCGCCAATTTTGAAATTGGATTTTTCCTATGGCGTTGTTGTCCACTTATTGGGAGTTGTCTCGCCCTTGAGAATCGTCTTTTGAAGAAACAATCTTCTGAGGTGCGATGTGGGGCCGAAGGTATGGAAGAAAGAGGGGATGCAAGATAAACAAACTCCTCAGCCGAGGTGATGAGGCGTTTGTGATATATATGCCAATCAGAGGTCCAACTAATAAGAAGTTCAACTGTCCAACAAGAAGGGATTTTTGTGGCCATCTTGGAACGGCAAAACGGGGACCCTGGAAAATTCAAGCCTACACAAGGTGCCTTTTTTTTTGGAAGATACATTTTAATCTTTTGTGTGTGTCAAAGCCAGTAATTCCGAAATTATAATTTTTCATGAAATTTAAAAGATTTTGTTTTAGAAAATAAATACTTTTTCCCTTTACTCAAAAGTGTACATTTTTTATTTTTTTTAAAGATCATTTCTAATTTCGTTATAATTTTTATTTTATTATACATTCTCTTTTCTTTTAGTTTGATTTTTATTAACCATTATTTTAACAACCCTACATAGTTAGGCACATATGTGAAGGCAGTTTTAGTGGGCAGTCTTTCTCTATAAGTTTTAAAAAGAAAAACCAATTCTCTAGCTGAAACTGACCATCACACGTCATTGGTTATTTTATACGGTTATTTATACGGCGAGTAGCTTTCCAGTTGTCTTCAGGATGAATATTTCCTATGGGTAGTTGGTTGGTGGAAGAGTAGGTCCAAGGCTTCTTCGAATTGTTCCTCACCATTTAGTTGTCATTTTAGAGTTGGGGAACGTTACTTTTGTCATTGTTTAGTTTAAGCTTAATTAAGCTTTGGATATCATTTTCCAGAGAAATCTCTTCCTCTGTAAAGATCGCTATAAGTACAACTTATTTAAGCTTTATAAAAAGCACGACATTCTTGCATTTGAATACATGTTTTTTTAGAGTGTGTTAAGTGCAATTGTGCGTTAAGCGTGCCGTGTGTGGGTAGAAACGAGAGTGAGAGGATAGAAAAAGTCCAGTTTCTTTTTTAAAAAGTTCTTCTCACACCCGTATCTTTTTCTTTATGTAATGAAAATACCTTTGTTTCCGGAAAAGAAGGCTTTTTGGTGTGCAGTTATGAAGGGCGAATTATCTAAACTCACTACAGAAATAAATTCTTGGAAACTAGCCTTTTTTTTCTTCAAGTGCTTGCTCAAAACTCTGGTATTTGGGTCTTATCAATGGTAGAGCTGATAGTCGTCTGAATCCAAAGTTGAGGTCGTGTATTATTCTTTGCTCTTATAATTTTATTAATAAGGAAAAAGAAATAGACAATAAAAATCAAATCATGTGCAATCGATTAATTAAGATTAATCCATCCAAGAAATTTTGTGTTTGTTTTCTTGTGTATTTTTATAGAAATATCGGACAAGGCCGAAATTAAATACTCTGGTTAATCGATAAAATGCCAATTAATAATAATATTTTAATTGGAAAAAATTTGAATATATTCTGCCTGAATTGATTAAATACACGCGAACTCTTAGAAAAACTAAACTTTTCTACTTTATGCGAAGAACAATAGTCAGAATTTTTTTGATATATCCGGACGACAAATATGTAAATGTTCGTTATTTTGAATTATATTTTATTTTTTTATTGCAGCTTTCACACAAAAAGGGGAAATCTACTTCCACTCAATTAGCACAAATTATAATTTATCTGTGAAATATCTATCCTCAGATAACGAGCGTCACTCCAGTCATAAAGATCATTAAACGATTTAGGTCCATAGCCGTTTATTTCTTCAATAACATGAGTCAAATTAGGAAGAATTATAGAAAATTTCGAAGGGATAGTATTAAAAAATTGGGTTTCCTTTTTACAATTTGATTGGTCGATTTTTATACGGTGTATCTCAACATTTATATATACTACAATTAATTAAGGTTTTTAGTTGAGATGAAAAAAAGGTAATGGCACGAGCGGGATTCGAACCCACGATCTTCGGCTAGATACGCCGCTGCTCTACCACTTGAGCTATCGTGACCTCGATCCACTCGGACATCAACTTCCTATCTCAACCCCACCTTATGAGTTTTCCCTCTAGCCGAAGATCGTGGGTTCGAATCCCACTCGTGCCATTTACTTTTTTTCATCTCAACTAAAAACCTTAATTAATTGTAATGTATTAATTGGTCAAGCGGTCCACGAAATTAGTGAATTTATATTTATTTTTCAATTTTTGACGTTCCGCCCGTTACATTTGATTAATTGAAATGTATATTTTAAAGACAACTATATATTTTTTACATGAAGCAAGGAAAAAGAGCCAAAACGGACCTTTTTCTCTTTCAATTAATTTAAATTAATTTTAACGGTCGTTACTGACCAATGATCGTTTCGTTTTGGTCTACTTCACTGATTTCTTCAGGGCAAAATGATCGGTAACGACCAAACTACAGTCATCACTGAGCAGACGCGCACAATGTTCTATTTCAACTAAGAAGGTTTATGATTTTTTAAACGGCGTATTGAACGAAATGTTATAAATTGCAGTTTTAAATGTGACAAAAAAATATTTAAAGCTCTTAATAATTCACAGGGTATTTTAAGAAATTTGGAGACATTTGGGAAAAAAAAACAGTGCGGTGTTTTTCCGCAGGTTGAAGCCTTATTTGCCTGACAGATTATCACCTAATAAATTCGTATTTAAAGGGAAGAACGTTCTTGGTGAAATATATATAAAAAAAATATTTCGTCCTCTAAATCCATACTTGATGTCTCTCAGTTTTCTGACGACATATCCATCCTCAAGGAAAAAGAATCATACGAAAAGACACACAGTAAAAAGAGCTGGACGAAGCAGTATATGAGAATTTCATTGCCTCAGTAATGCTCAGGCTAGCTAGTCTCTGGGCAATACTGGTCCTGACCGCTATCAGCTGAATTGTCTTCGTAATAAATAAATAAAATAAAAACTGACCTTCAGACGGACCATGAGGTATATCTTTTTTTTTTTTTTTATAAAAGATATATATATATAAAAGAATAAAAACATATACTTTGGAGTGGAGTACAAACATAAATAATGATAATGATTACGATGATCAGGATGACCTCATCAACGGGTTTTATCACCCCCCACACGGGTTATATTTTTACAATATCAGAGCCGTCATTTTTACATATAAAAACACTGGATTTTAATAGTAATAATTTTGTGTGAAATCACTTACTTAACAGTTACTTTTAAATTAAATTCTTCTTTATAGTCAGGCCTTGATGATGCTGAATCATAACAACAAAAGCTTGAAATAAAACAGTTTTTTCAATTTTTTCCAAGTTTATTTCTAATGTTTTGATTAAAAAATAGAGATTAGATATCTAATTCATTAAGGTGTTTTACTTTGTTTCAAGGAGACCGACGTTAAAAATAATTTAAAATAAATTTGTAAAACTTTTGCCTCTTTCAAGAATGAAACGATTAACTTTGCATTTTGTCGTGTCCTGAAGAAGAAAATAGAACAGGCAGAGGTAATTTTGTAATATTTATGAAATTTGGGCTTTACCAAACATACTATATTCAGTGTGTCTGTCTAAACAAAGCTTGGCGTGGCTTCCTTGAATTAATCATATTGATTGTCAGTACTGGTTGGTTTCTGTAAAGATGTATTTTCCGGGTGCAGTTGTCAGTGCATATTGTCAATGTTGTGACTTGGGCCATTTTTTCTTAATCGATATTTGACTGATGCGTGAAACGTTTTCCTTCCAGAGTGTAGCGTTGTCGAAAGACAGCGAGATGAGGAAGACCTGGTCAAAGATGCCACTAGCCCTCGAGTTCAAGGTACACATCTTCAACGTGACAAACCCAGACGAAGCGCACGATGGAGCGAAGCCGAATGTGAAAGAGATCGGCCCGTATTTTTTCGAGTCAGTAGTCCAAAAACAACCTTGAAGTAAAAATAAAATATACAGTACCTTGTTCCAGAGAATGGAAAGAGAAGGTGAATCTTGAAGACGACAACACCGACGACACGGTCTCTTTCAACATGAAGGCGAAGTGGATCTTCAGACCTGATCTCTCCGGCGGGCTTACAGGAGAAGAAGTAGTCTTCATTCCACATCCTGCCCTTTTGGTACGTTTTTATATTTAAACTTTCTCCAAAATGTACTTCAAGTTCAAAAAGTATTTTTTCTTACAATGTTTCTTGAGAAATTATAGTGACATTTTCTTCTTCCAGAGTATGGTATTAACTGCTGAAAAAGAAAAACCTGGCGCGCTGCCGATGCTAGCGAAGGCGCTTCCTCCTCTTTTCAATTTCCCCTCGACCGTGTTTGTTCCCGTCAAAGCGATGGACATCCTGTTCAGGGGGATTCCGATAAACTGCACCTCGACTGAATTCGGCCCGAAAGCCGTTTGCACGATGATTAGGCAGAATCCCAGGGGTATGATACCCGACGGGAAGAACATATTTCTCTTTTCATTTTTTGGAGCGGTACGGGACCAATGAAAAAATAAATCATTAGGAAAAAATGTTATTTAAATTATTTTTTCGTAGAAGAACAACACTCCTGAAGCGGGGAGATTCACCGTTCATAGGGGCGTGAGGAATCCGAAGGAAGTCGGCATGATGGTCAAGTTCAACGGCAAGACGGAGCAGAACGTCTGGTCAGGGCCGGAATGTAACGCTCTCAAAGGGACAGATTCGACCATCTTTCCGCCATTTTTGTCAAAAGATGAAGAAGCACTGTCCTTCGCCCCAGATCTATGCAGGTGAAATCAACAAAACAAAAGATCAGATACCGTGTCGATAAGGATGTAAGCAGGGCGAGGAGCGTTGAGGCTGCCGTGGTTTTGAGAATTAACTGAAAACATTTTGTAGCAACTTTGTTTTATTACTCTTCAAAATCTCACTATTCTATTTTTAACACTCGATGTCAAATGTCAGAATACATAACAAACGAGATGGTTAGGAATGATTTGACAAATCGATAAAGAGAAAGAATGTTCTCACCAGTGAACTATAGTATTTTAAAATTCCAGGAAATTAGCAAAAAAGTGAATCATGTACAGGTCGAATGTGGAAAAATTGACCAGCTTAGCTACAATTCAATATTTAACAATCGTCTCCATAACCACTTCCAACCAGAAAATTCGATCTTCTTAGCCACACCTGAATATTTAAAATAACCAAATTACCCACGCCCACCCAACAAATTCCATCAACTTAGCCACACCTAAGGTTAAAATTAATTTAGTCTCGCCCATTCAGCAAATGCAAGGTAGCACATTTGATCTACCTAGCCACGCCTAAATGTTTAAAATTAATCAAATTAGCCACGCCCAACCAACAAATTCAATCAACTTAGCCACACCTAAGGTTAAAATTAATTAAGTTAGTCTCGCCCATTCAGCAAATGCGATCAGCTTAGCCATCCTCAATATTTAAAATCAACTTCTATAGCCAAGCCCAACTAGCAAATTTGATCTACCTAGCCACGCCTAAATGTTTAAAATTAATCAAATTAGCCACGCCCACCTAGCAAATCCGATCAACTTAGCCACACTAAATGTTTAAAATCGAGTAAATTAGTCTCGCCTACCCAGCAAATTAGATCAGCTTATCCACACCTAAATATTTAGGATTAGCTTCCATAGCCAAGCCCAAATAACAAATTTGATCTATTTAGCCACGCCTAAATGTTTAAATTAATAATATTAGCCACACTCAAGTATTCGAAATAGACCAGCTAACCACGCCCGCTAAATTAATTAGATCAACCGAGTCACTCCCAAATAATAATGAATTGACTGAATTTTGAATGGAACTCCTAAACATTTAAAATTAATCACTGTAGCCACATGCAACCTCAAAGCGGTTTATCTTATCCACGACTTACGAGCAACTTCGTACAGATAGCCATGAATAAAAAATTAAAACTGACCACCTAAAAACATCCAAACAGTCAAACCGATCAACTTAGTCATATAAAAAAAGATCAAATCCTCTCGCTTATTATAATGCCGATTTAATAAAAAATTGACCAGAAACGACTACCGACTTAATGGGATTTTTTGTTGTTTTTTATTTTTATTACTATAATTAAGTAAAGGCTAGGGGGGTTCATTTTGATCCATATTATTCAAATTGTAGGGACGTTAAATTCATTAACATTACATTCAAACTGTTTGAAATGATTTAATGAAACCGTTGTTTTTTTTCCAAGTTTGTTCCATCCTGAATACCTTGTAAATAAACTGAATTATTAAATAGAAAAATTAAAATCAAGCTAAGCGATTCAAATATTCCAATATTGTCTTTTTGTTGTATGGAATTATTTGTATATATTTACATAAAATAGTAGCTTTATTTACGATCTAAAATGTGACAACGGTTCATTACCAATTAATCAATGGTTATCAATTACAGGTAGTGGTTTTCCACTGCCATACAAATTAATAATTCATGTTCAACAGAGCAATAACAACACCCCTTTTCATTCGTGTATTCCAGCCAGGTCGTCATTCTCTGGAAAATGAAAGTCCTGTTTGAACACCTTCGGACCAAAACTTGAAAAGGAAATTAATTATTGCTTCACTCATTTGAAATTGTGTGAAAACTTAGAGACATGACTTTTTGTTACAAAATTTAAGTCCCAGAATTTAATTTATTCTCAAGTCAATACAAAAAAATACGCCTTGATTTATCTCAAATTTTGTTTTATTTTAAGTTCTTTTTTGCTTTCTATTTGCCCATATTTTTTTAAACCTTATTGTTTATAGGTCAATTGGAGCCAGGTACCAGCACCCGACCGTTTACAAAGGGATACCTGGGAATTTTTACACAGCCACCCTCGGCGACATGTCGGCAAACGAAGATGAAAAGTGTTTTTGTCCTAGTCCGACCACTTGTTTAAAAAAAGGAGCTTTTGACATTTACAAATGCGCTGGTGAGCTATGTTTGTTTTGTACAATTTAATTGAAGTACCTCCAGGTAGATGTAATAATATAATCATAAGAGTGACTGTATTTATTTATCTTTATGAACTCACATAGAATAAAAGTTCGTTTTACTCTTTAAATTTAATGATTTGTGTTTTTAAAATAACTGAGTCTAGAGTAAGGTGATAAAAGTCAAATATATCAACATTGGGATTTTTTTTTCATAATAACGACTTAAAATATATTATTTTCTTTGCTTTTAACAAGTTAAAGCATTATATCCATTATTTTTAGTGGCCTAATTGACCAAATTACTTCTTTCAATTAATTATTATTTTTGTGTAAGGTCTTGGTTGAGATGAAAAAGTTAGTGTCACGAGCGGGATTCGAACCCACTACCCTCGGCTGCCGGTGAGTGAAGGTCGTGGGTTCGAATTCCACTCGTGACACTTTTTTCATTTATGTCAATTAATTAAGTTTTTTAGTTGAGATGAAAAAAAGTTAATGGCACGAGAGGGATTCGAACCCACGACCTTCGGCTAGATACGCCGCTGCTCTACCACTTGAGCTATCGTGACCTCGATCCACTCGGACATCAACTCCCCATCTCAACCACACCTTATGAGTTTTCCCTCCTTTTGCCATTTTTCAAATGTCGTGTAATCGGTTTGGATTCTGAACTATGGGGAGTAGATGTCCGAGTGGGTCGAGGTCACGGTAGCTCAGGTGGTAGAGCAGCGGCGTATCTAGCCGAAGGTCGTGGGTTCGAATCCCTCTCGTGCCATTAACTTTTTTTCATCTCAACTAAAAACCTTAATTAATTGTCATGTATTAATTGGTCAAGCGGACCACGAAAGTAGTGAATTAATGAATTTTTCATTTATGTTTTTCACATAAAAAACATAATTAATTAAAATACTGTATTAAACTAAATTTTAAATTTTGTATCATTTTATTTTATGAGGTTGTTTTATTTTTTTTTTAAACCTAGGAGCGCCGATCATTCTCACACTTCCTCATTTTTACGAGGCGGACCCGAGCTACCTGGACGAAATCGACGGCCTCCACCCTCAGGCCGAGAAGCACCAGATCTTCATCAACTTTGAACCGGTCGGTCTTTCACCCGGGTTGAAAATTTAACACCTTAATATAAATCATTATCTTACAGATAACAGGAACACCCCTCGGCGCAAGAAAAAGGCTCCAGTTCAATATAGGAATACACGCGATTAAAAAAGTACCGTTGATGAAGAGCCTACCAACAGCCCTTGTACCTATGTTTTGGGTCGAAGAGGTAATAAAAAAATAAAGAAACTACCATACATTAAACAGCATATTCATTACATAATTAGTGTAAATATTTAATTATTAACAGAGCGAGAAATGTATTGTGACAAGGTACAATAGATGTAATCAACCATGCCCTTTTATATGTGAGAGGACACGCACAACCTATTGTGCTCGGAACCTTCGGGCGATATAACAAATTAAACTCAACTTTCTTTCACCAAAATCTTTCTTGTGTAAACGAAAAGGGTGCTCTTTGCTTTATTTAAATTTTTTATATCAACCCTTGGGGTCCTTAAAAAATATTGTAAGCATGTCGAGTTCGAATCGGGATTTGAATCCGGGACTTTTACCTTATAAGCGACGTGCCAATGTCGTTGCGGCCACCGACGCCCCTTGTATTTAGTTGCAGTAATTTTAGTATAAATTACACTTTCCATTCAAATGTTTTCTTATTCTCTCAGGAAAGCATAGGTTATTTATTCAGTTATTCAAAGAAAAGGTATGCACTCATTAGATTTGACTCCCAGGACGATTGGACGGATCGCGCGCCACATATGCTGACTCGATGGCAATTCCTGCAAAAATGCGTGGCAGATATCTGGAAAAAATGGCGACCGGAGTATCTGACCACTCTACAGCAACGTACGAAATGGCAACGGCAGACCGACAACATGGCTCTTGGAACGCTTGTTGTTATGCGTGACGCACAAGCACATCCCTTATCATGGCCTGTCGGACGCATCATTGAGCAGTACCCCGGTAAGGATGGGGTGGTACGAGTTGTGCGCATAAAAAACGCCCTCAGGAGAATATACGCGTCCGGTTACACGTCTATCTCCTCTGCTCCCTGAACCCTGAATCTTTCCAATCTTGTTGTCTCTTTTCTCTTAGTAAAATTTGGTGGGCGGTATGTTTACGGCGGAGAGAATTTTATTCATTTTTTTAAAAATGTGTTTATTTGTTCAAATATCCATGGAGACGAAAAACAAAAAAAGGGTCTCGGGGTCCAGCTGGCCAGTTAGTATTGGAGAGTGGATGAACGCGTTTGTCTAATTCTTTTTGATCTCGATTTGTAATCGAAGTTACAATTTACGAGTACCCCGCCGGATTACGAAGTTATTTGTTTTCTCTTCGCCCGCTCATCGTTGTGGAATCACGTCGCCTGCAATTCTTCATCGCACATCATTTGCTGTTCACAGGTCAGATTTTTCCTTTCGGCTGCTCACGTCTTCTAATAAGACTTTAATTTGAAGTGTTTGTTCTCATAATTGTTAAGTACTGTGAAAAACATTTAAAACCAAGTTTCTTGTATAGTTTGATTAATTTTCTGTAATAAGTCTGTCACTATTCTCTTTAATCTATTGACCCTGGCCAGGTCACTTTGTTGTTCAACTTATGTAAATTAAATTAACTTTATCGCCCAATGTATGTATATCATATTAATTTAATTTAGTTTAATTTAATCTATATTTCTTCATATCGCGTCCTGATTCTGTCAGGGAGTCAACGTGAAGGGACAGGTTCCTGCGAACTAGCAAAGGTAAGGAGTGTTGCTGCCAATTAAGGATAGCCCCTTCTTCCAACACATTTTGGAAATCATATGGTATCTAGTTGCAGTACTTTTAGTATAAATTATACTTTCCATTCAAATGTTTTCTTATTCTCTCAGGAAAGCATAGGTTATTTATTCAGTTATTCAAAGAAAAGGTATGCACTCATTAGATTTAACTCCCAGGACACAGAAATCATATGGTATCTAGTTGCAGTACTGTTACAATATAACTTTCCATTCGAACGATGAACTTATTGCTGCTATCAAATATTTCAAACCAGTTTGTTAATTAATCAAAAAGCCAACCAAACTGAGTTTTAGACATAACGAAAGGTCCGAAGAGCAATAGTAATAGTGAAAATCGATCACTTCCAGAATAATCTATGAGAAAGCTTATTCGTATTCAGATCGTATTCTGCACATAAGTTGAACTGTAAATTATCCACACTGGCTTATGGCCTGAAATTGAGGTCTTCTGAGCTATATTTTATTAATTGGTCATCTTAATTTACAAGTTGTTTTTATTTCCTTTATTCTTTAGCATCCAGGTCAGAAAGACTTTATTATCCATCGGTATTCAATGTTTGGTTATTTTTATTTTCTTACAATTGAAAATAGAAGGAAGAGTTTTGGTTTTGTATTCTTGGAAATTGGTGTTTTATATTCCTTCATCCGTAAATTTACGAGTTTTGTGGTTGAACTAACAAATTACATCTGTGAGGTTTCGTGGTCCGATTGATCAAATAAATTGTTTTCAATTAATTAAGGCTTTGGTTGAGATGAAAAAGTCAGTGTCACGAACGGGATTCGAACCCACGACCTTCAGCTAAATACGCCGCTACTCTACTAGTTGAGCTATCGTGACTTCGATCCACTCGGACACTAACTTCCTATCTCAACCACACCTTTTGAATTTTCTCTCCTTTTTGTCATTTTTGACTCTCGGCGACAAATGAAATGGCCACGGAGAGCTTTAGTGAAGTATACTTCATTTTACATATTACATTTGTGAGGTTTCGTGGTCCGATTGATCAAATAAATTCAAATAGATAGAGCTGCGGCGTATTTAGCCGAAGGTCGTGGGTTCGAATCCCGCTCGTCACACTGACTTTTTTATCTCAACCAAAGCCTTAATAAATTGATAACAAATTATAGTTGTTTAGATGATTCAATGAAGAGGTCGATTTTGAGAGGTCATTAGATTTTCAGAAATGCATATGCAGTATTTTTACGTATTTTGGATTTGACCGGTTCTTCTATGATTATATTATTCGGCATTAGTCAAGGGAAATGTTGAGCTAAAATATGGTGATTTTGGGTTGTGAGACACCTCTGCCATCTTTTGTATGCTGATGCTTGGTTCTAACCTCACGCCAGCCAGCAATCGTAATGTTGGGTTTGACAAAATCCCTGCCACCTTTTGTATCTGGTTGTGTCCTATATATTATATATTATGCAGGGTGGGCGACCAAGACCCGAGGGGTTAAATGCCTGATCGTACCCCATCCCTAAAAGGTCCGGGACTTGGTCGGCTCACGTGTCCTGAATAAATCTCTTGGACCTGTTCACAAACCCCAAGATTTTGGACCATTTAATCTCGGGGAGTGATTTGGTGATGCCCTCTTCTTCAAAGATTTCAAATCTAGACCTAGTGTACCTATCACATTCTGCGAGGTGGTGCCTTGGTTGTGACCTAACCCTTGCCGCCAGTTGTATGACCACACCAGTGCTACCAATGTAAGGTGATCCCCAAAGAAATCTGATTGTGGTGTTTTAATTACTCGGTGCATTTTTGATGAATGTTCCGAAGAAATAATTATGACGGTGATGAGAAGAAGAAAGCCTGGTGTTTGTTATTCCCCAAATGCTTGAATCGATCGTTCTTTTAAGAAATGGTTCAATTTTTTCCCGGGTATTATTTGTACTAATGGTTATGTTCCCACTGAGCGGTATAGGGGCGGTTTCTTCCTTCTCGTTGAATAACCTACAAATAGAGTAATTGAATATCCATGTTGTGTAGTAGTTTTCTCCGATATAGCCCTATCATTTCCCTGACTTTTGCCTGCTGTCCTTTAACTAACTGTAGCAATGTTTTTGCCAGTTCTTTAACTATGAGTTTATTAACTGTGGCACCTATTTCGTCTATTTTCCTTCTATTCAACAGATCGATTCTGAGATGGAAAAGTTTATTCGATCCCAAAAATAGGTTTTAGGGCTACGGTTGGTCTTGCAGGTCAATGGCAAATTCCAAGGAGATGAAATATGGAAGGAAATAATTATTGTTAAATTTCAGGGCTTGGAGTTGAACCAGGATTTCATCGACATACTCGACGCGAACCTGTTCCGCACCCTGAGGATAATCGGAGTAGCTAAATGGGTCATCACAATATTAGGTCTGATCCTGATCGGCGCAGGCGTTTTACTCCATTTCTACAGGCAGAAGGGCAGTGCAGAAGAGAACACAAAAAATGTCAACGTGTCGTCCGTCACCCCTAAAAAATACTGACTAGTCCAACACAATTTCACGTTGTTTGCAACTGAAATATAGTTTTGTATATTTTTTCGTATTCTCTCGCAAAGTTTTGTGGAAAGGAGAACAAACTTTGCGAGGTGTTTGTTGACTGTATTGAAATTTTAGAATAAAATTGTTATTTCCTTACATTTCTTTTTTCATGAAATTTTCCAGTTGGGTAAAAGAAAAACTACGAAAAATATATCACATTCTATTTAACATACAAAGAACTTAAGATTTTACATAGATATAAAAAATCACAAATAAATATATGAAGTATAAAAAATAAATAATTAAAAATTTTAATAAAGAATGAGACAATTATGGTATAAATTGTGCACACTGGAAAAAAGAAATTTGACAGTATTCCAGGGTGTAACAGATAATTTACACTCTAAAGAAACCTTTCAAGAATTACAAAACAATATCCGTTATTTTTTCAAAAATAAATTGTTCTGACATTATTTCCAGACGTTCTGTTCCAAAAAAATAAATTCAAAAGCTGTAAAAAATAAATTCTGTCCATGAAAAATTTTCTATTAAATCTTTATGGTTGAATGAAATTTAATGGGTCCGTCTACTCTCGCTTTCAATATGTTATTAAAACTGAAAAAAGGCAAAAGGAGGGAAAACTCATAAGGTGGGGTTGAGATGGGGAGTTGATGTCCGAGTGGATCGAGGTCATGATAGCAGCAGCGGCGTATCTAGCCGAAGGTCGTGGGTTCGAATCCCTCTCGTGCCATTAACTTTTTTTCATCTCAACTAAAAACCTTAATTAATTGTTATTAAAACTATATATCACTTATGTCAGCCAAGATGCAAAAAAGGATCAAGAGAAAGACATATGCGGGAAAGGGCGGACCCAATAACCGCCACATAAAACAGAATGTTGTATTAAAAAAGATTAGTTTTGTAAATGGAGCAAGAGTCATCAATGATGTCTCAGAAATGGAAAGCATGATTAAGCTCTCTCTCATTGTTATGATTAAAACTAATGTTCTATTATGTGTTTAATTGATCTCTTATCAATCAATAATCTATGAAATTTTGTTGCGTGAGATTTACTGAGACCGTCTAGTCTCGCTAATTGCTTCCATTTTTCAAAATATTTCGTGGAACTTTACATAACTATATGAAACAATTTATCAAATCATGAGCATTGAATGCTAAAAGAATTGATAAATTTAAAAAAATCAGCTGGTTTTTGAATAAAATAAAATAGTATAAATGTAAACATATTTTCTTACACATGCCGTTTTCAATCATAAAAATAGAATTTTCGAATTTTAAAAATGCATTTTAAAAATCTAGTGTCATATTTTTATTAGCAACAATTTTTAAAATAGTAATTTACAGCTAAAGAACACACAGGAAAACGATGTGTTACGAGTAAATTTTTTAATAGGGTGTTTTTATTTTTTGAAATAAGACGATTTCCACGTTATTTAGTTTTTTTTCCGATCACATATATTGCCAAATACAACAAGTTTACATAAAATACATATTCTTTCCTAAAAAGAACATTTTATTATCCTAGATTGAATTATTGACATTAACACAGTTTTCAGATGTTGGTTTCGCCGTTGTTCTTGTCCGAGACTGAAGCCCTAGTGTACTTCGTCTGGGTGACGTCCCCAAGCCGGTACTTACTGGGACTTAGCGCGCTCACTCCGGTGGTCGCCCTCTCCATTGAGAATTCCTCCGTTGACCTCATACACAAAAGTTTCTTCCAGGACTGTTTAAACTGAGAAAAATAGTTTAATTTTGTAATTTCGGACGATTCCTAATTTAAAAAATTCCACAAGAAAAAAACTCCTTAGCGTTAATATATTTGGACTCTTTCATTTCCAGTTCTAAAATATTGACTGTTTTTTGACGGCCTGACGGACATGAGCATGTTCAAGCTTTTAATAATTTGAAATCCTTTCTTGTGAAGCGATAAATCTCAGTTACCTTTTGTGTAATAGCCTTAGGTTATCTTTTTTATTAAAGCCTCATTGTTTGCCTTCAATTCCAGAGAAAAATGACTTTCTCTAAAACCACCTCTGGCAACACCTTTTATTATTTTACAACATAAAAAACATAGACAAATTCTTCACCATTTGTACTGATTAAAAAAAAATATAGCCTGTTTAATGAAAGGAATCAATGCTATTTATAAAACTATCTAAGGAAAACTTTGCAAATCACATATAAATAATATAAAAAAAATATTTTTGCCGTTTGAAAACGAAAATGACAAAAAGAGTCTATGGTATTTATGAAACTATTAAACTTCATTAAAATGATGAAAAATTTACTTGACCAAATTTGTCCAACTACTATCCAGCTTCTTCAGACATCGTAAAAATTTAAATTAATATTTTGACCAATTTGAGAAAAATAGTCTATGCTATTTATGAATCGATTTTCAAGTGAACTTTAACAAAGTATTTTAAAAATATACTTTGTCTAATTTGGTCAAAATCTTTCACAGTTCTATCGCCATTTGTAAAGATTTTTTTAAACAATATTTTGCCTAGTTTATCGGGGTTAAAGTTAAGTATAAAAGCATTTTACGACCTCACAGTACCAATATTGATTTACTGTGAAATCTTTAGAGGCGGCCGTGTGTTAAAATTTGTGCTATTTATGAAACTATCTTCAAGTAAACTTATACCACCATGCTAAAAATACATTTCACCAAATTTGACCAATCACTTGGACAGATCATTCATAATTTGTAAAGATTAAAAAAAATGTTTGGATGGTTTGATGAGAAGCATTTATGATAATTATAAACAGATAAACTTTGTAAAAGCGCGTTAAAAATTCATTAGGCCAACGACCTTAAAATATCCCCAGACAGTTCTTATGCCTTGACGGAACTATTTTAAGTTTTAAAAATTAAAAATTTATAATAATAATTAAACGGGGACCGTGGTAGCCGAGTGGTTAGCATGAGAGACTCTCACGCCGCGGTCGTGGGTTCGATTCCCACCGTCGCCTCTGGCCCTTTTTTCACAAAAACCCCCCCCAAATTTGAACACACATATACGAATTGTCACATGGCTAATATGCATAGTTCATAACGCCAAAAAAAAAAAATTAAATCTTGCTTTTAATAAATAAATAACTGTTACGTGTAGGGCATAACTAGTTGAAAATATAATTAATAACATGTCAGCAAACATGATACTAAAGTTTACCGGTCATGTCCGATAAGGGAGAAATCGACATGATTTTCTGTTAAAACCGATAAACCCATACAGACGGCCTGATATGACAGCATTGATTTACTTGATTTAGAACAATAATTTATATTGAATTCATTTGTATAGACAATTGGTAAAATGAAAAAGAATACTTTTGTTTTAAAAATTCATCATGCTTACAATTTATGTTTTCATAAATGTTCCACTATTCTTCAAATTAATTGTTTTTGCTTTTTATTGTAAATATAAGACTGTTATCAATTTCTTTCATTATAATGAAACCTTTTTTCTTGTCCATTCAAAATCCGGCAGGTTCTAAGGCCGATGAACTACAACGGAGGAAAGCTAATAATCTTAAAATTTGCCCCTTAATAGAATAAAAAAAAACGATCCTTTCCCGGTTTATTATTGTAGGTTTTAATGTTTGAAAACAAGCAACATATATGTCATAAAATATATAACTCTTTAATTACGAGAAATGTAAGTAAAATGAGAAAATTAGTGGAATTACAGGGAGGACATGATTAAATTTTCTCTTTCACAAAGAAAATCCCAATTGGGCAACTTTTTCACCAATGTTTATCCTTATAAAAATAATTAAATAATAATATTATTATAAGAAAAACATGCATTTCTCGGTAGTAACAAATAGGAAAGATTTCTAGGACGTTATGACGGCCATTACAGAAATTATTTAAACAGCATTGCAAAAATAATCAGTGTTTAAACATTAATCGGGGTTTTGCTTCTGAAAGGTTTTTTTAATCTGTTTAAAATGTTAGCTTTGGTCGTTTTTTGACCTATGTACATTTGAAACGGATGGTAAAGCGAGTGATTTGGCTTTCAGTAATATCAGGAGGAATATATATTCAAACTGCCAACTTGAGAAGAGAGAGAGAGAGGCTGAGAGAAGAATGATGAAAATAAGTCACAAGTAAGAAAGAAAGAGAGAGAGAGAGAGAGAGAGAGAGAGAGAGAGAGAGAGAGAGAGAGAGAGAGANGAGAGACAGATGCAGAGAGAAAGAGAGAGAGAGAGAGAGAGAGAGAGAGAGAGAGAGAGAGAGAGAGACAGACAGACAGACAGACAGACAGACAGACAGACAGATGCAGAGAGAGAGAGAGAGAGGGAGGGAGAGAGAGATTAACATCTGACATTGTGTACAACTTTTATACACCCGCTCATTCAGGTTTACATCTAATTTCAGTAGCATTAGGAGGATGTCGATAAAAACCGAACATGGCAACAGAGGCCCCTGGAAAAGTCCACATCCTCCCAACTTCCCGGGGACCAATTGCCCTTTGTGTACAACTAATTCGATGAGAGTATAGCAGCTACTCTAGAATAAATCCGTGAAAATATATACGTTACCTGTGTGTTGAGTCCTACGTAGATGAAAGGGTTGTAGCAAATACTCGTCTTTGCGAAAACGGCCGGAACAGTCGCCAGGGCAGGGCTGACCTCCAGGTCGAGGAATGCGACGATGAGGGCGAATATGGCGTACGGAGTCCAGGCGATGAGGAAAGCTAGGATCATCACTGCTATCATCAAAACCACCCTCGATTCCGCCTTGCTCACCCCTCCCATGGCCAGAGAACTCTGCCGAAAGAGAACTACATAAAAACGATATGATAATAAACAGTGGTCATTGCTCATCAGTATTTGTAACTCATTTGTTGTCACATGTTATGACTTTAGTTAAGATTTGTGTGTTAAAACATTTTTGGCTTCCTTGTTTAAATCTTTATTCATTTAAAAAAAAAAATTTTAACTTTTCTTCTTCAGGTGTACTGTTAATTAGTTATGTAAATCTTCGAGAGTGAAACAATAGTAATCTAAGTCAAATATTAATTAACTTGTTGAAAGGTGAAGGGGTATTGTATCGGCACCGTTTGGATTCAGGCTCGATCGACTCTCCCTTTGGTGGTCGATTATTCGCGGGTATTGTATACTAACTCTTGGAGTTCATTAAGCCCCGATTGGTGCTTAAAATCCCCCCCCCCCGTAAGACATCTTAGAAAACTGTCCATGATTCACAGGGCCAAGCAGTGCCAAAGGGGATTTTAATTTTCTCCCAAAAGTTAAAGTTGTCCTGTTATAAAGAGGAATCGTTACATGGGATTAAAAGTTTAGCATTTAAAAAGAAATCTTATCAACAGTGAACTTGCTACAAATGGCACTCTTAGTAAATCCGGGATTTCCTTAATGCTTATACAATATTCTAAGGTAATCCTACTTTTACTTTTACCAAAAGCCAGAATTATTCTTTAGCCTGCTTATAACCCTGATTTTGTACAATATAAAAAGTCTTTACTCCAATGATATCTATTTTGAAGTGACATCATTTTGAAAACTACTACTTCGACTCAAAACCAAACTTACATCCAGGTTCAAAATTAAGCAAGAGCGGTAAATAATAAAGTACTTATGCTATGGTAATACATAAAAACTATATGTTTTAATACTTTAAGCCTTCTACAGATGACAGTGCTATTTAACCTCAGTTTTACCCAACGGCTAGAGTTTTAAAAATTAACTTTCATCAACACGGAAAAAGCATTAATGGAACAATACCTGAGGAAATTCAGTAAAAGTGGTTCTAAAGTAGGTTTGTCTAAGTTGACTTTATTGGGCTTGGCTTACTTTGTCGATAATCACGTTTGGGAGGTGGCTACGTTAGCAGAATTTATTGGTTGGGTGTGTCTTACATGGTTCGTTTTACCATTGGGGTGGGTATGTCATTCGACTATACTAGCTGGATGTGGCTAATTTAGTTTGAGTTCATCTTTGAACATGGCTAATACAACTAAATTTTAATTTATAGTGTAGCTAATTTCTATCTTAACGTGGAAAGCGTGGCTGTCTTGTTTTATGTTACTTAGGCTTAATTCGCTAAATTTATTAACGGGGCGTGGCCAACGTGAACCATGTACACCTTTGGGCGTGGCTAAGTCATTGGGCGTTGCTAATTTTACCTATGCACATATTTGGACGTGGCTAACTTTGTACACCTTTGGTCGTGGCTAATTCAGCAGATTATACGGACTTGTTCAGAGTTTGTTTTGTTAATCCAATTTATTGGTTGGGTATGTCTTACATGGTTAGTTTTACCATTGGGGTGGGTATGTGATTCGACTATACTAGCTGGATGTGGCTAATTTAGTCTGATTTATCTTTGAACATGGCTAATACAGTTAAAATTTTAATTTTTGGTATAGCTAATTTCTAACAGCGTGGAAGACGTGGCTGTCTTGTTTTATGTTACTTAGAGGCTTAATTCGCTAAATTTATTAACTGGGCGTGGCCAACGTGAACCATGTACACCTTTGGGCGTTGCTAATTTGACCTATGCACATATTTGGGCGTGGTTAACTTGACACATGTACACCTTTGGGCGTGGCTAATTCAGCAGATTATATGAACTTGTTCAGAGTTTGTTTTGTTAATACTGGGTTTGGAATTAAAATTTTTTAAATGACGTTTTGTAAAATCTTTTAGCTCTAAATATTATGCATTATTTTGTTTTTATATTTCTGAACGCCGATTAAAAGTTCTTGGTGTTTAACATTTATTTTTTCATTTATTCCAGTCTGATATTTTCTCCACCAAGCATACTCACATGTTTGGATCTGATGTTTTAATTTTGGAGAATGTCTTGATATAAGTAACATTTGATTTATGTGTAAATATTTGTTTTTATCTTACATGAGATCGTATGAATTCCATACCTTTTTCATAGTCCTAATAATGTTTATGTACGAAAAGCAAATGACGAAGAGTGGAATGAAAAATCCCAAGACGAACAAGTAAATTATGTAGGAGGTTGAATTGTGACCCCTCGTCTCCCAATTGACGGAACAGCTGAAAATTTAAAGAAATCTTTTTACCAAAATTATTGAATAAATAGTAAATCCAGTGTTAAATTATTTCTCTTCGTATTGGATGTAAGTACAAACCAAATAGCTGCAATGAATTTCAATCATTTCAAAGCCATTTGGATAAAACAAAAATAATATGACATTTTTTTGACAGAGCAGTTGGGTCAATTCATGTTAGATTGTGAATGGCCATGTTTAAATCAAGATAAATGAAAACAAATGGTGATTTTTTTGTGTGTGGATCAATCGTAAAATTCACAACTCTTAATGGATTGATTCTTGTTTGAAAAGCATAAAAGGCAACACGTCTTACTTCCTCCAGGCTGGATTTACCAAAGAAAAAGAGACGTTTTCAATGTTCACGAACAAAATTGTCACTGTTAATTATTATCAATCAGCAATATAATTAAATAATTTGAAAATTGTCATTGTAATTAAAACCAATCCAATCAGATTTATTATAAACTGCAATTATTTGATTTTTGTAATTAAAACATGAAAAATCATAACTTTTACTTTCAAAAATACAGTTTAAATATGTTAAATTATTTGAAGTAAAAGAAAGACATGTAAGAATTGTTGAAAAATTAAAATTTGGGAGAAATGAATAGAACAGAAATGATTTTTCTGCTAGACAATACTTGCTCAAGAATTTTTCCATAAAAATATGTTAATTAATATCGAATAAAGTAATAATAAAGTCTTTAAAAAACGTTCTTTTTACAGTTTGAAACTTTTAAAGTCGGGAAAACTTCTTAAATTATAATTTTAAACATAGGTTATCAGGTAAACTCAACCATGTGCTTTTTGATCATTGGTTTATAAATGTAATAAGCTTTCTTTCCATTTTCCCTCTTAAAATGTCTAATGTTGACAGTAACAAGCATGTCGCATTTCATTTTCCAGCGGGATGACTTTCAGAGATAAGAATTCCATCTGCACCAGTACAGACTTTATGTTACACTTCTTTAAAAAAAATACTGTTTTTCTAAATTAATATTATGGAATATTTCAATAATAGCTAGATAGAAGTTTGCTGATATTTGAAAAGGTTGGCTTAAAGAAGTAATTAAAAATCAAAGATTGAGATATCTCTATCATGGTTCAACTGAAACCAGTTACCTGAGATTGGCCGCTTCTGGGCCGTATTCACCCCAACCCAGGAGGGGTGGAACTGTCACAAACCCTGCATAAATCCAGATCCCGCCGACGAGGGAAATTGCAGCCCTGCTGCTCAAAGCGCACCTGTTCAGTGGACGGCTGACCATCAAGTACCGCTCCAGAGCGAGTACTGTCAACGTACTTATTGACCCAATACCTGCAAAAGTGCGGAATATATCACTATTGACTTCCCGGAGAAAACGTTTCTGGAATATATTCAATTAACTGTCCAACAAAGAATTCTTTCTTCTTTAAGAGTTCCTCTGTTGAGTAGAAAAATTATTGTATATTGGGACTTTATTCTGAACAATATTTTGCTTCAATCAGCATTTCAAAAAGTTGTAAAATGATCTTTAGTAAAAAAAACCTTTTGAATAATAATTAATTTCCCTAATACACAATTGAATGCGATAAAAATTCAAAATTTTTAAATTAAGCCTCTTCAACTTTACAACGTTTCTTACCTAAAAGCGCCATGAAAAATCCATAAGCGATGCACATGGCATGGCCGAATATCCATTGCATCGCAATCGCCGAGGAGAGGGTAAACGGATTCCCGAGAATTGAGACCGTGAAATCGGATATGATCAAATTGAACAATATATAGTTCAGAGGAGTCCAGAGCTGAAACGAAAAGTATAAAGATAAACAATCCATTTCTCACAACACAAATTATGTAAGAAATACGACGCATTATATACATAGTGTGTTAAGAAAGAAATAACGTAAAAATTCGTTTCTTGTTTAGATATTACCTCTGCAAGAGTGTGAATCTGGTTTAACATTGTTTATTTAGAAGGACTAAAAAGACACAAGTCATTATACATTTTTCGTTTAATATTTTTTACAATTATTAAACTCTGGTAGTGCTTTTTCCGGTTACCAGCTTGCCAGGAAAACGCTGTTTTCCCTTTGATCTCGTGAATTAGTGTAACCAGTCTAGCAGCATATATCCTTAAATCTCAGAGACTTGAAAAACTATGGCAGAATACTATTGCACTGATTATTAATTGGTAGTGTCTGGACAGTTGCAGTTGTTGGATACGAAATTAAAGGGTCCACCCAGTCAACAAAACCCCCACCCCATCCTCTACCACAGACTACCGTCCTATTTCCATCTTATCAAACCTGTCCAAGCCCCTAGAAAGATTAGTCCAAGCACAATTCTCCAAGCACCTTGAACAGTCCCACCTTCTCAATCCCCCCAAACAGGCTTCCGCCAAGGCTATTCCACTCAATCAATAATAAAAATTACCAGTGACCTCCACTTAGCAATGGACCAACGGAAAGTTACTATACTTGTCCTTCTTGATTTTTCTAAAGCTTCGATGCTGTCCCTCTTCTCTCCTCTCTAAACTCGAATCTTTTTCCTTCTCCACCAGCACCATCCGTTGATTCCACGCTACCAAGCTGTCTCCCTTCCCAATGGCCTTACCTCCTCCTTCCTCCCACTAAAATCTGGTGTGCCCCAAGGCTCTAGCACCTCTCCTAGCTAGGACTCCATCCAGTCATGTAACTATCACCTATATGCCGATGACTCCCAAATTATCCTTCCACCCTTCCGATCTTCATTCAGCCATTCTCAAAATCCAAAAAGACAAAAGAAGACAAAACTCCATCAACGAATGGGCACATAAAAATTCCCTAGTCCTCAATCCGTCCAAATCCACCGCCATAATTATCGGGTCCAGGCAACTCCTTAATTCCCTCCCAAGGATCATGCTAAATAACCATCTCATTCCCTTCTGCTCTTCGGTTAAAAACCTAGGAGTAGTCTTTGATCAAAACCTTTCCTGGCATCCTTACATTTCCCAAATTTCCCGCCATTGTATTGCCTCCCTCAGCCTATTTCGTCTGCCCTGCTTCTTTTACCACCCGCAAACTCCTTGTATCTTCCCTTATACTTCCCTTATTCGATTATCGCTGTGTGGCATACGGCAGTCTCTTGGAGGGGGGAACGCGCGATTGAAGCGTATTATGAATTGCTGCGTAAGATTCGTGTTCGGCACCCCACGGGGGTCCCGGGTGTCGGGGTTGTATTCCCAACTTTCCTGGCTCTTCCCCTCCTTCCGTGCACAGTATTTCCTAGGTTGCTTTTCCAGTTCATCCACAATCGTCGTCCTCCTTACATCACCCAATCTCTCTAATTCAACTCCTCACATCACACTCGTAACACCCGCTTATCTCCAATCGACCTTATCCTTCCGCAACATACAACCCATACCTTCGAAAGGACCTTTTTGATCCAAGCCCCTAAATCCTTTTTATTCGTCACGCTGCCTCCTTTTCCTCCTTTAAATCCCATCTATATAATCACCTTCTCTCCCTCCAAGCAGAGAGCTTACGTTAATATTTGATATTTTCGTTTAATATTCTTGTAATTTTCTCTTCTGGTCTGCCTTACTGGTATACATTGTGCCAAGATTTCTTTCTCGTTTTACTTTTAATTTCATAGAAGGGACTTCCTTTATTTATTTCATTCTTAGGGGACACCAGTTCCAGAATAAAGTTACTTTTGTTCTTCTTCTTTTTGAACGACTGGTGGCAATGGTGTGAAAACCACGAATATGCTCATAGCACTGGTTTCACAATCCTATTTTCCGAGGTGGTAACGTTTTGATCTCAACCCAAAATTCCCACTCAGATGGTGAATCACAATCCAATACTCTCATACAACTAGTGGAGCAGTGAGATTAGTGGCAGAGCTGCCAGCATTGAGGTACATTACAATATCCTCTGACAGTTGGTAATTGGGGTCAGATCGTAATCCATCATCTTCACCCAATAGCTAGAAGTATTAGGTTGTAAACCAAATTTCCCTTACAATTGCAAGCATGACATTAAAACCCATCATCAACCTCCTCGTACAGTTGATTCCATACAACCCTACATCATTATATCATTGGTGACAGGGAATAACCCAGCATTTAATTCAATTCTGGCAATCTTAGAGCGACTCAACGTTTTCATACAATTACTGGTGGCTTTGAGGTTAGATCCCAACACATCATATACCTAGTGGCAGTGGTGGATCACAACCCAAGATCATCACAAATTGCTGATAGCTGCAAGGTTAGAACCCAACACCTCATACAATTGGTGGAAGTGGTTGGATCACAACCCAAGATCTGTACGCTGACGCATAGGTGACAGCGATGGGATTACAAGCTTACAATGTAATAGCTGGCAGTGGTTGGATCACAATACAACATCTTACAATTGCTTGTATCAGTGAGGTTAGAACCTACATCATCATAAAACTGGTAGCAGTGATGGGAATATTCACAACTCAACATCCCATGCTATCGTGGCGGTGGTGTAGTGACAACCCAGCATCCCCATATGCTTGTGGTGAGCTGTTAAGTTAGATCCCAAGATCCTCATACAACTGGCGGCAGTGGGGTGGATAACAACCCATCTTCTTACAATTGCTGTCTGTGAAGTTAGAACCCAAGATCATCATGGGAAGGTGCCCATGGTGTATACAGTAACTCATACATTTGTTCGTCTATACTTGAAAGGGCCATTAATTGGTTTAACCACCAAACTGTAGATATAAGGATGACTAAGGAATAACACCTTTCGTGTGGCTATGGTTAAAAAAACCGACAATCTCTTTCAAGCGTAAGATTCATTAGTAAGTATGAATTCCATCCCAAACAATGACTCGAATGCTTAACGATAAAGGAAAAGCGGACCAAACCTACAATTCTACTAAAATCTACATCAAATGTTAACAAATCCACTTTTAAACCAATTATTTCAGAGTGAGAAGGAAACAGAGAAACGTCAAATAAGAGCGCGGGCGTTCTAACCGAAACAATGACCCGTTGTCTAAATTATTAAACTCGTCAACCTCTTCAGTAGAAACAATTTTAAATTGCGTGTAGGGAGTTGGCCATTTTTAATGAAACAATCGCAACGTTGGACTTAAAATTGTGGGTGTTCTTCTAGATACGGCAACTCTTCCATGAAGTTCAACAAACACGAGTCGAAAAGACAGAGGGATAGAGTTAACCAAGAACCATAAATGATAGATTGAAAAATGAAGATCAAATTGTTTGGAAGGCTCAGCCTATAAGACTACAAATGTCGGAACTTTTCTGCAACTCAAACAGATACAAGAGCTTATACCTCTTTCTACTTGGCCTCACTCTAAAAACTGCCAACGGCAAAAGTTTCACAGACGTGTATAACATGGTGTAAAAGGCAATAAAAAAGTTTTTTTTATCTTGAACTATAGCAATGGGCCTACGGTGTGTTCATGGAATATTTGAATTGTTTTCATTGTTTTCTCCCAGCGGCTTGGTTCATCTGTATTTTTACGTGAGGACTTAAACCATTTATTTTGCCAGTTTGGTTAAATTTTTAAGCTCAAAAATTAATAGTTAAATAAATAAGAGGTCGGCTAGTTTCATCTTTATCGATCCAAATCTTGTCTACTAATAGTTTTAAATTTTTTTCTATAATGACAAAATTATATTGTAAAGAATTCATCTAAAAATGTATTGTAGAAACCAAGAATATCAACGAATATATATAGAATCGTTTCGATTTCTCTTTCTCTGAAACACTTCTAAGCTTAATTTTCCAATAGTTCAGGGATAATTAAGCCCGCCTTTTTATTTATTTCTCTTCTTTTTTTGTGGTTAAGGGCTGTGGTTGTATTTATTGGCTTGAAAGCCTGGTGGTCTATCTAACTCTCAGGTAGACGAATAATACTAGAAATCCAATAAAATAATTAATTTATAATTAAGTTATATTATTTTATATGTTATAAGCATCAACACGCACTGACTCATACGCTTGCGTATGAATACACGCATATTTAAATTTATAGACAAATGGCAGCCCTGCCCAAGTCGTGTACCATGCAGCACCAATACAAAGCGGAGTTCCTTGAACTCCGCTCTCAGTATCCCGGATGTAAGACCGTCTTCACGGACGGCTCTAAGACCGGGGCGGGTGTGGCATGCGGGATGTACACGCTTGAGGAGAGCTCCTCCCACTCACTCCCTAGAGAGTGCAGTGTGTACCCCGCCGAGTTATACGCGATTTGGCACGCAATGCTGAGGGTGTCGGGCATGAGGGACGAAACTGTTCTCATCTGCACTGACTCCATCAGCGCGGTGAGAGCCCTGAGAGACCTCTATTCACGGGATCCACTGGTCGGCAAAATCCAATTAAAATATGCGGACGTTGTGCGCGCCGGGAAAAGGGTGGTTTTAGCCTGGATTCCAGGACACGTCGGACTGGAGGGGAACGAGAGAGCGGACCTGGCCGCGAAAACGGGTACTCTCGTTCCTTAAAGTGACGATGTTGAGACCACCCCGATTCGGCCTGACGACGTTAAGAGAATAGTGAAAAATATGATAGACAAGTGGAAGCGTCGTTGGGCCGCCTCGACTGACGCGTTGGTGTCCGTTAAGCCGACGGTCGACCGGTGGAGCCCGGAGGGGATATCTCGAAGGGAAAGCGTTGTCCTGACCCGCCTGCGGATAGGCCACACATGTGCGACCCATGGGACCTGTTGGTTTGCGCGAGTCGACCTAGATGCCCAGCATGTCAAATAGACAGACTCACGGTGTCGCACGTGTTGGAGGGGTGTCGCAGCTTGGCCCTGTATAGGGACCGAAATGGAAAACCGCCGGGTTATAGAAGAATGCTCGAGCATGGCAGCGAATTCAAGGACAAACATTTTAGGTTTCTAACAGATATTGGGATTATGGGTTGTATATAGAGGGGTATTTATTTTATAGGTTTAAGTTTAGATTTAGTTTCTGGTAGAATAGAAGTATGTTGGGCGGCGGTGCAGCATATTATTTCAAGGCTCCACCGCTGCTCCGGTAAACCGGGTCGGGGCGGAATATCGAGTACCCTCCGACCCGGATTCTAGACAGAGGATATGCATGTGTGATTGGGTTTGTATATAATAGTATGTATGTATTTATTGTATGAGTGAGAGTGAGAATGACTAGTTTTAGGGAACGTAAGGGCGCCGAAATGACCAAAAAGTCGATGCCGACCAGAGTCCAACCTCGGAGTCGCTTATGCACCAAGGTGGGTGACTCCCCCTGATCTATCAGGGAGAGGCCAGAGGCCTCCTAGGAGGTCTCGCAATTCTAATTCTAATTCTATAGACAAATGGAGTACACACTGGTGAAAAACTTGAATATTTATCAGGCTGATCAGAACAAAGAATAAAATAATAACCAGTTACAAAACAGAGTCAGAAATCATTAGATAGATAAATAGATAAATTTCTTCATTGATTTTTCATACAGTACACAATAAGAATCAGAAACATTATACTCAGACGTACTTTTCACATTTCATTAGGACCCTTTTCGAAGATTTGAAACTTGAAACTTTGTTCACACACCACCCTCTCACCCCACCAGATGAATTAAGGCCAAGTTCAAAACAAGCACTAATGGAATAAATTAATTATATTATATTAATTTAATTCACTAATTCGTCTTTTCAGTTTCGATCATTCTGAGTATGGACACATCGCGATATTTTCGATATGCTGGGTAACAAATATTTTAAAATTTAACCGAAAATTTTTATTTTAAAAAAATTATAACCTAGGGTGGTTCATAAGTCTTATAGTTCTTTAATAATATTGTTTAATTATAGAATAATTACCCTTTGATCACGGCACATCATAACAATGACTATAAGGTTGGCGAAAAATCCGACAAATCCAATTATAAATAGGATGACACTGGCCAAAACATAGGCACCAGGGGTCATCAGCATCTTCTCTTCCATCGCTCATCACTCCTGGAAAAACTACGACAGAAAAATTAAATAGACAAATAAAAGAAGTTGTTGTTTTTATTTAGAATTAAAATTATAATAGTTGTGGGAGTAGTAGTAGCAAGAATTTATGTAAATGAACTAATAGAAAAAGTCTTAAACACAACAAACGCGAGAGTAAAATTTCTTAAAAAAATATATGGATGACACTGTAATAATTGTGTATATATATGACAGAGATGTCCTATTAAAAGATTTTAATCATTGACATAAAACTTTAGAAAAAGAGAACAATAAAAAGCTGCCATTGCTAGATTTAGTACTAATAATAAATGCGAACCAAAAACTAACAATTAACGTTTATAAAAAAACCTAATATGTTCACAACTTACATTAAACTATTTTTCGATACATCCATTAGTACAAAGTATAATATTATATCAAATGTGGTTAAAAAAGTATGAATCGAGCGAAACACCTTTTCACAAATGTAACCTGAATGGAATTAACCATTAAAAATAATTACCCAAAAACAGTCTTACAAAAAAAGTCTGATTGAAAGAGCTATAAAACAACAACGGAAGACCATTTAATGATAAATATAAAAAACAAAATTATAACGATTTTTGTCATTTTCGAAAAACTCGAGGGCATTTGAAAAGGCAAAATTTTTATGAAAAAATATTTTTTGATTTTTTTCAAAAATTTGTTTTTCTGACTTTTTCTGTATGTATTTCAAAGTTAACAAAGTTTTGTATATCAGACGATTTGCTTTTTGTTTTTTAATTTAAGATAATAAAATCAAATCAGGATCGTATTAAATGTGTGTAGATGAAAAAAGTTACAAAAATAAAAATACCCTTTCATTAATGTACAAAAAAAAATTGTTTTTGAAAAACCCGATTCATATTCGTTTTATGGACCAAAAAATCTTTTAAATACAAATTTTAACAAACAAAAAATAAAAATTTTTTACCCTGGATTAGTCGAAAGATCAGTGTTCCACTTAAAAATTCATCTCCTCTGAATTTTCTCCAAAATCCAAATTATGATTATTTGTTTTGTAATATTTAGATTCTGTGTCACTATAAGTGAGAAAAATAAGGACTAAATCAACAAAAGCTTATTATAAGTTTTATTTTAAACATTCCGTCCTGATTTATTATGTGTATGATAAACTTGTGTCAATACATATAGTTTATAAAGTTCAAAATTTTTATAATGTTTCTTGGTGGAATTGCTTTAAAATTATGACTATTTTTGTGATTTTTGCAAAAGAATAGTAGAAATATGGAAAAAGAGCAAACTATTTTGTGATTTTCTTAAAAATCTTTCCTCGGAGTGTTTTTTGGATGTATACAAAGAATATCAACTTTGTTCCTTGTAAAAAAATATTTCAACGTAGCAAACTGGATCAAAATTATATTTGTTAACTCACCATAACATTGGTGTCGTAGATAATGAAATGCACAAACTGCAAGTGATTATAAAATCGAAATTAAAAGTTTAACATTTTGTACAGGCTTGGAAATCTTCTTGAATGAGAAAGTCGCTAATGTTTTTTTTTTCTTTTAAAGAACAACCGTATGAAATTACAAACAGGGGCACAAGGCCGGCGCGCACACAATGTCCATTTTTACTTTCATAAATTGTTTTCTCATAAACTCCCAGAAATTTTCTTCTTTTGGGATGTGTTAGAACCATTCAGGCCAACGTGCTTTTCACTTATTTTATTTAAGTGATCGATTTCGGGGCCATCCGCCTCACTTCATCAGCCTCGAGTTTTTATAGTGTAGAGGTTTACATAATTTTACAAAACAGCCACAGTTAAATGTCTAAAAAATATAATTAAATTACGTTAAAATTTCTTGGTCACCCAACTACTTTCTGATCCGGAAACATAAAAAGAGATAGGTTTTCCCCTAGGTTACATACTTCCAACCAGTGGCTGTATGTATATTTGCTAATTGATGTTTTTTTTTTGTATTCTAATAATTTTGTTTTGTATTTTATACTTAATTTTAAATTTAATATTTTTCGTTTTATGTATTAATTATTTTTATAGCAATAAGTTTTTTGTTTTTTACATTTTTATTTATTACATTATTTTTATACATTGTTAAAATATTTTTATTATTTATATTTGTTTTTATCTTGTATATTTATGTTATTTTTTCTATGCTTATGTAGATACTCTACAAGCAATTAATTTTTGCTGATTATTCCCTCTGCCTAATATTTTACTTTCTCAAAATTTATATTGGGTCTTGTATATTTTTTATTTTCTTATTGGCTTAACTTTTATTTTTTAAATTATTTTTATGTTGGCTAATTGTTTTGTATAGGAATTGTACAGTTTTCCCATTGTATGCTTTCTAACATGAACATTTTGTTTTATACATCACTTTACTATTTTTAAGTTTTTCAATAGTATTTTACGGGAAGCAAAATTCTATATACCTTTTCCCCGATGTATGAATAGAAAATATAATTTTTACATATTTTCTCTTGTTCGCTTATTTTTAATATTTTTTTTTTAATCCTTTGAATATATATCAGACCCACAAATTGGGGAAGTTTTTCTTTTACTTTATCTTGTTACTACTCCACCAATCCATATAATCTCTAATCCACAGGATTAGAATCTTTTAATTTACACGTAATGCCATAAATCCAGCCTCCGAAAAACAATCAGAGATATAAAATAAAAATGTTTTTCTTGATTTCACCCATTATTTTCTAACTTATAATAGCATAAAAGTATGACATTGTTAACATTGAAAGTAGAGAAATTCAGCTTTTCACCAGTTGTAATAAAATCTTTAAATTTGAATAAAATTCAAAGGAGTTATGAACTTTTCAGGTGAAACACCTAAATTCGACGGCGAATCCAGACCGAAAGTTTTCATTCTTTGTTTTCTGTGAAAATTTACAATCAAGGGCTTTAAACTATGCTTAAGGACGTCGGTGGCCGCAACGGTTTAGGCGTTGACACGGCGCTCATCACTGTAAGGTGAAGGTCCCGGGTTCGAATCCAGCGGCCCTGCATTCGAACCCGACATACTTACAAATGGGCTTTTTTTTTCAAAAATACCGTCACCCTGAGGGTTTATATGACCTCTGCTGTTGCGAAGCCTCGTTAAAAAAATTTTTTTTTCTTAAACTTTCAAATTCATAAAGTATCGATACATAATCGGTACACTTGTAAATAAAAGTAAATATTGCAATAGAAAACAGCGTATTTTCACATAACAAATTCTATGAAATTAAAAAATAAAACTAAAAAAGTTAAGACTATTGAAAACATATTCCCCTCGTAAAAAACTATGCTTAAAACAAATCCGATTTTTTTTTTAATTTCGTCCACATTACTGAAAGGTCGTTTTGTTTTTGTAACTTTTATACAGTTAATTTCATTCACATCAGGATTCGTTACGGGTGTCGTTCCAGAACGATTTTTTTAAGGAATTTTTTTTTTATGTCAAAAAGTTTTCGTATCTCGGGAGAGTACGAGTCCGTACCGCAACGAACGTCTTCATACAATCATGACCATTATTTTCTTAACCTTACTAATAAAAATTAATCAATTTATACATAACAACCTTGAAATATATCAATAATAAAGAAAAGAAATTTATTTAAAAAAAAAATTTAAACATGCTTACAATTGTCCATTATGTTTTGACCTAGCATCACAAAAAGATTGCTTCTTTTCATCATTAATCTGATATACCCTTGATTCGCAATATTTTCTATAAAACCTTTTCCTCGCCGTTGTCACGCTTAAGCTGCATATTATGTTCATCTTGATATTACTTCTTTTTCTGGTAATACTCTGCCAGTATATATCGGTCCCATGCAAAGTTTTTTCTTACTTTTAATCCTGTATGATTTGTTTCCTAAGCTTTCATAAGTTTAACATAAATAGAAAAGTTTTTGATGAAATTCGGTTAAACTTTAACTTCGTTTTATAAAATGTGTACGTCAACGAAGTAAAAATAAATAAATTTTGTACTGTAAAAAAATTTCTGTTTGAAGATCTAAAAAACACTTTTACGCAACAGGCTTTTCATATATTAAAAAAAATATCTTGCATTTCGTTCTTTCTAAACAAGCTTAACTTTTAACAGCGTATTCTCAATGTCGATCAAATCCGAAAAGCATGTGGGAGGGAAATAAATAGAATAAATACGAGAATACTTTTTTACGCTGAAAACGGGGTTTTATATATTTCAAACAATTTATATTGCGAGTAATTACTTCAGAGTCAAGTTGAACGGACGGAAGTCCAAATAGGATATAAAACCATTTTGAATATCAAAATTGGTCAATAAATCAATTAAAAAATTTCCTTAGAAAGTTTTGTTTAAAAAAATGAAGTTTAAACAGTTGGCATATTTGTCGAAAAATCCAAGAATTTTATTAGAAATAACTGAAAGGATTTAAGTTGATAATACTAAATCAACTAGTTTTCGTGATCCGCTTGTCCAATTAATATCTTTCAATTAATTAAGGTTTTTAGTTGAGACAAAAACCTTAATTAATTAAGTTGATAATACTATTCTTCTCTAAAGTCTATTTAAAACGGGGGATTTAAAAAAAATTATTTAAACATTTGGGCACTTATAAAAAAGAAACGATAAACTTTTATCTTCGATTGTTCTTGTCCAAGAAAGAAAATAAAATAAATATCTATCTCTTAGGAAAATAGCTGTAAATTTGCAATATTTCAGCAAAAAATGGTGGATAGAATATTAAGATTAGTTTTACCATGTGTCATAGGGACAAAATTGAAAACTAATCAAAATTATATTTTCTAAACATTGACTAGTTACTTAGTTACTGGAGAAAAAAATTATAATTGAAGTTCTTTAAACAAAACTTGATACAAGTACATTTTTAATTATGCCCAGAAAAATGTTTAATTGAAAAATAAACCATCAAGTCGTTTTACCTCGTGTCAGCTTAGGGTCACGTGTTGGTAAAAGTACACGTGTCTCATCAGAACCGGCTCACGTACTCGGAGGGTTCGGATGCTGGGCGAGAACTGGCCCGTTTTCACCCAACAGTCCCTTATATCCAACCCCTCCCTTCGCCAATCCGGGCGGATAGTCCAAATTCGGCATCATAATCCTCGGCTAAGGCCCGTGGAAATAATATCTAACCCCCTTAACGAAGCAGGATTAATTATTTCCTACTCCCCTCTCGATGAGCCGCAAATATTTTTAAATTATGATTTTAGCTAAGGGGCAGCTGAGCCGTTTTAATTTCAATAACAAAAGCCGATAAAGAAACGTTACCAGGCTTAAAAATAGAAAAACATTCTTTGAATATAGTTTTTAAAAAATTAGGTTATGCTTCTATAATTATTAGTTATAATTATTATGCTTCTACAAGTCTCATCTCTCTAAAAAAAAATTTTGCAGGGGCATCCGACAGCTAGGTCATTTCAGCCCTAGCGGAACTACTCAATACACAGTCACACCAATAAATACATTCACACCTATACAAGGTGGCCCCAATCGATTCAGCCACACTTCCAGATCTTTCCCCGGTAGATAATTTTCATTTTTAATTTTTTTAATTTCTCCGATAAGCCCCCTCCTTGAGAGTGTGAGGGAACCACTAAAGCTCCTCTTCCGCCACACTTGGCCACCGACCATCAACGAACTCGTTAAAGAAAAGAGGACGTTTGAGGTCCTCAAGCCTGTTAGCCGAGCTATAGTGGATAGAGTACCTGACTAGTTTTTCTTTCTTTCTTTTTTCTTCTTTTTCTTCCTATGATACTTGTTAGATCGTTACCTGAACTTTTAATTCCGGGCTGGTTATTCCTTGTACCCATAATTGTTATTTATTTATTAAAATATTGTATTTATTAGAAAGTGTATTCAAAAGGATTAACCAGCAAGGGGGAGACCTATTAGATTAGATAAATTAATAATAAGAAAAATATTTCCCTTCTTCCTTGGGTCTTCCCTTTCAGGGCAAGGTCGAAGGAAGATGTTAGGCAAAATAAGATCTCCTAAACTTGCATCCCATTTGAATTAGTTTAGTGGCCGTGGTCCGCCGGTATGGGGTCTCCCATAGGTACGGCGGGGAGGTGGATGGGAAATAAAAAATTAAAAAAATAGGAAATTGAACACTGAGTAAAAAAGGTCCTATGAACCTGTGTCCGCAAACCCTTCAGTTCCGAGCTACAGGCAAAAAACCATGAAAAACCACGTTTTTTTACCTTATTCGTGAAATTGTTAGTAAACCGTTAGCCTGACCGTAAAACAGCTCTAAACAACATCTGTAGAGGATTAATTGTTGCGTCAAATGAGATTAAAACCAGCCTGATCGGCCGAAAATTTCATTTTTGTCGATTTTCCGAAGTTAGGAGGTGAAAAGGTACACAAAATTCACAATTTCTGCATTTTTATCGAAAATTCACAACTTGAACACCCTATCAAAAAGTTCACCGTTAGATTTTTTGTGCATTATTTCATTCAGAAGGGGGTACCCATCAGAAAAAAGTAACATTCGAATTGGGTGAAAAACAGTAAATTACCCAAAATTCGAATGTTTCATGAATCAGACTGGGGTTGGTCTAATGTGATGGAGAATTCGATCGCCAACAAACGAGGTTTGTAACGGAAATTTTTTTGATAGGGTGTTTAAGTTGTGAATTTTCGATAATAATGTCAGAAATGGTGAATTTTGTGTACCCCTTCACCTCCTAACTTCGAAAAATCGCCAAAAATGAAATTTTTGGCCGATCAGGCTGGTTTTAATCTCATTCGACGCAACAATTAATCCTCTATAGATGTTTCGAGCTGTTTTACGGTCAGGCTAACGGTTTACTAACAATTTCACGAATAAGGTCAAAAAACGTGGTTTTTCATGGTGTTTTGCCTAGCTCGGAACTGAAGGGTTTGCGGACACAGGTTCATAGGATCTTTTTTACTCAGCGTTCAATTTCCTAGAAGATCTGGAAGTGTGGCTGAATCGATTGGGGCCACCCTGTATACATTCAGCCCCTCCCCATTCACACCAATAAATACATTCACTCTTACAAGTCCCAGAAACACAAAACACATAATTTACCTTCTATATACAATAAAAAAATTCCCAATTCTCTTAAAAATCAGAACAGGGGACCCTGAAACTCGCTGCTGGGTCCGAGAAACCCTTTTAAATCTGGGGCATGCCTACTCGCGTCCTGTAGGGAGCCACGACACGTTTCGATTATGTGGGACAAATCGAGCAACCTTTCTCTGCATAAGGGACACCTGGGGGATTGGACCACTAGCAAGTGCCCATGTGTCAACCGCGTACCTATTCTTAATCTGGCAAGAACTATTCCTTCTTTACGGCTCAGATTCTCGGGGGGCTGAAAAATTATTATTCTTTACCTAGCACCTAGAAAAATATTGGAGTTAACGAAGGACAGAATAAAAGCAATCATACAATCATAATAATTTTATACATGTTTTAGCTAAACTCAATAAATTGCTCACGTTAAATATCCACGATTGTTCAGAAAAAACGGATGTATATGATAAAAGATCTAATTGTAAGTTGTATGCTTTATCTGAAACACGTTGCCGAAATTCGACAATGCATGAAAAGTTTGATCTTTTTATAAATAACGGAGGTGGGGTGAATATTTCGATTCACCTTTTATAAAGGATGATTCTACTCATACATTTAGAAAAACATTTAATTGAAAAAAAAAGCTATCAAGTCGTTTTACCTCGTGTAAATTTAGGGGTTGCGTTTTCCTTTACAACAGGTGGTTTGAACTTTTTCTAATATTCTTCTTGAGCTTCTTCGGAGATTAATGACTAAGATGATCAAATCCTTTTTAGACTATTAAAAGAATTATTTGGTTAGAAATATACAACGTACCAACCAAGAAGCTTCCAGGGCTTGGCAAATAAAGATACTACTGTTCAGTTACAGACTAATTAGCCTTCTTATAATAAGCCTTAATATTACGGCTCCTTCCAAAATTGATAAATTAAATTTCCCTCTAATCCTGGATTCTCAATTTGTGTTACGTACTCCAAAATTTCACGAAGTCGAAACCATTTTGAAACATTTGAGCAAAAAAATAATGTGTCTTTCCGGAGAAGGAAAAGGATTTTGACGAATTTTTCCGCTCTCTGTAATTTAAAGCCTTATTTGTCTGATACATCTCCTTATTTAGTGTACTTAAAGGGAAGGACGTTCTCGATGAAAAAATAAACGATTTCGCCGTCCAAACTCATACTTGGCATCAGGGTAGTTTGATCCGTGAGCTCAGTTTGTGATCGTTACATTCACAAAGAAAAGACAATAGGCTCGCAGCAAAGTTAAAAAGAGCAGAACGAGAGAAATAAATAAAGAGATGAACACACTAAAGTCGGCGGTCGTTGTGTTTACTCTTCCTAGACATATTTGCACTAATAACCTGTCTGTTTCTCAATAAGAGCTTGAATGTGGAGTACATATATAAAACCTTGCCACAAAGTCAGGCAGAGAATTTACCAAGTTGAAGCAATTTTTCGGAAATACGTCGCCGTTATCTCTCAACAAAAAACCGTCAGGACTTTCTTTCTTTATTTCTCCGTTCCTTGGCCCGTTTTATGTGCTCTATCAAAGATTTATATTCTTTGGCATCACGCTCTGCCTAATGGCTTTTTACCTCTTCCCCTGCCAAGGATTTGTAAAGTAGGTGTATTTCTACCTGTCCAGGATGGACCTATTGGAGGAGCTTTGGTCGGAATATAGGGGAGGGTGAGATTTTTTTCCAAGTTAATTGACATATTTCTGTGTTATGTTTCAGGTACATGTAGGGTTCTTGATGCAGCATCTGACTTTGCAGTACTAAGAGTACCATCTTATATGAATAAATAAATACAATAAATATTATATACATTGCTAAATTTATAAAAATAAATATATACATAATAATTTAATAATAGATTATTTAACTTTTTGTTTTTTATTCTTCAGGTACTTACGGAGGTGCATCTATGTCACTGTATTCAGGCACTTGGCAACCTTTTTTGTGCATTATTTTTAAAACATATTTTTGAATTGTCTTGAGGTGTCTTTTTGATTGCTACTGTTTTGCTAATTTGGAAACTATAGGTATTCGGTTTTTCCCTGATATTTTCTAGTTTCACAATCTAAGAAAACATGTAGGGGTGTTTCATCACTATAATCACATTGGCATTGTGGAGATGGGTTTAGGTTGAAATAATTAAGTTATATTATCATATTATATGGCTTTACGGCGTACTCCGGTGATTGACCTATCATCAGACCTATAAGGGGGCTAAGTGGAAGAAACACAAGAGAATCCAGGTGTCATATAATATAACTTTGAGAATTATCACAGAAGCTCTGTGGTACCTGAGCAACCTAACTTTAATTTGGTTGTTACACATAATCCTGGTCCTCCTATCCTCAATGTGTTGGTCAGTCAAGTGAAAACTCTAAAGATGGAAAATATAATAGGCAGTCTAGGATCACCACAACGACCAAATTACAGGATCATCCCACAGACCACACAAGAAATTACTATTTAATGTAAGGCTAAGTACTATTCATCATTTTAGTTGTGAAAGAAGCGCACACTACTTTAATTTAAAAAAGAACAACATTGATAACATTAGACAAAAAGACGAACCCTGAGTACAACGAACCTGATATTTTAGCATGGATTAAAGGGTGTGAAAATAGTAATGAGCATTATTGAAGTTGGCAATAACAATGGATATGAAATTGAAGGTTAGGATTTCAATATTATGACATGGAGGCATGAACATGCATTTCCCATTTTAACCTGGCTGATCCTATTACAAGTGAGGGAAAAGTCGAGAAGAAAATGTAAAATAAATTGTTTAAAACTTGACATTTTAGATACAATTTTCTTGTACACACATATTGTTTTGCCATACTGCTGAAACCCTGCACAAGTGACCCACTTGTAGAGAAAGGTTTCTCTGTGTGTCACATTTGGTGAAGGAGTGCTGTGCTTTGGCCCCTTTCGGGGAGCGAGTAGGCATGACACCCATCATAGACAGTCCTTCAGCAAGACATTGAGTTGTTGGGTCCCCTGTTCTGATTTTTAAGGGAAACGGGTGTTTCCATGTCTGTAAATATCATATGTAAATGTTTATATCTACAGTGTATATGTACATATTTATTTGTTTGTGTATATAATTGTCTGAATGAGTGATGTTCTGATAGTGGAATGTCAAGTGGTCCATCAGCCGCCAGAGCGCATTGGAGGTTGATATGACTTCATTGTCGGTAGCCTCCCATTAATTTTTTTAAAATTAAAATTAAATTAATCTAGTACTACCACTAATTATTCCAGTATGTTTCTTATACTGCTACATATTTCCAAAATACTTTCTATACTACTATCATCATCAATACTGGAACTATTACTAATCACTTTTTCACTCAAGCCTACTAATATCACCTAGCACTAATCCATTAATTATTGTCAATTCTAGCTATTACAATTAGTAATATAAGTAGTAGCTTAAAGGAATTACTGCTAGAACTCCTGATATTACTGCTATTTAGTATTAATCTACAGCTGGATCAACATATGCAAGATAGGTTAAGTTATACACTTAGGCAAAAGTCTGACTTCAATAGGATCAACAACTGAATAAAATGACACAGTGTAAATTTCAACACCTTAGTGGGAAAAGTTGGAGACTAAAACCAAAGATGTCCCTATGGTTATACACAGTGGTTGTTCGACCCATGATAGTCTATGGATCAGTGGTTTCCTGGGCAAAGATATTACAACTAAAAGTAGACAGGATCCTAAGTACTGCTCAGAGACAATACTTTAACATCACTGGGGGATAATCCCCCCTGAAGCCCTGGAAGTCCTTCTGAATAGATAGTTTCAGGGGAGTTTCTGGCAGACAGGATCTGTTGATGCCATGAGATGATAGGTGAGTCAAGCATTGGCATTTATGGAACTAAACCAAGGACTAGAATTCATATAAGCCTTGGGCAATATGCCACTGTCTTTCAAGCAGAGACTACTGCTATTTAGTATTAATCTTCTGCTGGATCAACATATGCAAGATAGGTTAAGTTATGCACTTAGGCAAAATTCTAACTTCAATAGGATCAACAACTGAATAAAATGACACAGAGTGTAAATTTCAAAACCTTTGTGGGAAAAGTTGGAGACTAAAACCAAAGATGTCCCTATGGCTATACACGGTGGTAGACAGTACTTTAACATCACTGGGGGGATAATCCCCCCCCCCCATGAAGCCCTGGAAGTCCTTCTGAAGTTTCAGGGGAGTTTCTGGCAGACAGGATCTGTTGATGCCATGAGATGATAGATGAGTCAGGAGCTGGTATTTATGGAACTAAACCAAGGACTAGAATTCATATAAGCCTTGGGCAATATGCCACTGTCTTTCAAGCAGAGACTGGCTATTGAATACTGACAATAATGATCACGGTGCGCAGGCCAAATGCTTTTCTAACCTCATCGAACTCCATTAGTAAATCTTGTTGGTAAATTAGCCACCTAAAATCTCACTACTCCTGATACTACTATCATAATTACTCATACTGTTATTCATTATCCACCATTATCGGTATTACTACAGTGCCATTAGTACCTAAAAATCTTGCTGTAAATTAACCATCTAACTACCTAAAATTTTATCTTTCCAAGTACTACTATCATAATTATATTGTTGTTATAAATAGCTGTAACATTACTATCAATTTTTGTTCCACAACTATATTATTACTATGCCATTAGTACCTACTAACATTGTTGGTAAATTAGCCATCTAGATGCATAAAATCTCATCAGTTCTGTACTACCATCATAATTACTCGTATTATTGTTATCAATAGTTGTTATATTACTAACAATTCATTATCTGCCATTACTATACCATTAGTACCTACTAATCTTGTGTATAAATACTTATTACTCCTTCTATTTATAATATATTCTGCTGCTGAACTGACTTTTTACCATTTTTCTACTGCTATTCTTTTTCTTCTGCTATTACTTTAAATATTGGCTACAATTTCTTATTTATTATTAGTAATAATCCTACTATGTTTTTACTGCGTTAATGCTGCGACCTCTATTATTATTCTGCTAGGTATGTTTTACTAACTGAAACTTGTACAAGGACCATGTGTTTAATGATGTATTAATTGGTCAGCATTAACTTTTGCCTCAAGTGTCCCACATTTGATCAATCAATTCGTCACAGTGTGGAGAGGTGTCAATCAATCAGGACGGCGTTAGTTAAAGCTTCTCGTTTGTTAGTTGAAGACGCTTTCTATTGTTATGTCTAGTTCCTGAGGAGGTGCTGATTCCAAAACTTTCAGCCATCAGATTTGTTGATAGATTATTTATAACATTGTTTGATACTGTTGACTATTTTTTTTCTTTTATGCACTGCAGGTTCAGTAAACATACTTCTTAAAAGCAATAGAAGAAATTTTATTTTTTCTCTGATTAAAAAAAAATCAATTCTTCATTGTTTTAAATAAATATTTTTATAATATTTTTGAAATAAATGATGGGAATGCAATCTAGGACTGCGAGAAAGGAATATTATTTATAATATAATAAATAAAAATTTACATTTTGCATTGTAGGGAAATAACAAGCGGCTTAAAGGGAGTGGGTTTGATTTAATCAATTAGTACGTTTTCTCTCAATTCCCTTAATATTGAAAAGGCACAAAGGTTTTCATTCTTTTAGCAGTTAATTAGGAAAAAATCCAAATCTTTTTTAAATCTGATTTAATAAACTCGGTCCTTTTGAGAAGAATTCACCTGTTATAAACACTTTTACCTCTGCTTTCTTTTTAAATCTTGGCTAAATGATGTTAATCCTTTCTGATTTGGTTTTGTTTAAATAACAAACATTTATGAGTGTTTGAACATTACTTTTGTTCAAGTTTATTTGTTTAAATCTTAAAAGAGCTTTTATTTTTGTTTTTACATGAGTAAATGTGTGGTTCAAAAGTTAATATTTCTCATATTTTTTGTGTTTGTAACAATAATTTGAATTAGAAGTTTATTTTTTAAATTGGTTTTCTTTAAAATAGATTCCACATATGAAATAACATGTGGATAATATGTTTGTTTAGTATTGTTTACTATTGTAGAAATTTTTTTTTAATCACATTTTGTTTTTAGTTGGACAAAAGGCGTCAATTTAGGTCGAGTTTAAGTTTTAAAGTAATTATGAAGTCTTAATCTGTTCCAAAGGCTTGAGCTTGAGGAAAATAAAACCAAGAGTGTCTCCAATATTGATTAGCTAAAAGGTAAACTTGCCACCCAAAGGAGAACAACCCTGAAATTGGTATCCCTATGACAACCCCAAATAAACATTGTATGAATACAAAGATCCACGAGAGTACGGGAAGCATATTGTGAAACATTGGGATGTTTTTAGAACGCGAAGTTTCATAAGCACCTTCAAATTAAAAAATGGGGCTTGAACAATTTTATATATGGATCATGTAATCATATTCATTTTTACGTAATGCTGATGTAAGCATGTAATAGCTTTTCGCTCAGTATGCAGAAAGGATAACGCATTGAAATTCTTTTAACTATTTTTGTGTTTTTTGTTGTTTAAAGATTGCATATAATGTTGAGTGTTTGTAATCAGGTGCGATGATGGAACCACAGCGAGCTTTCTATAGGCCTCCCAGCTGCCTTTTAAAGACAAGTGCTGAAATAATAAGTGAAGCGAGGGCGGAAATGGCGACAAAGCCTGTCAACACGAAAAGACCCTTTACGCCCAGAGAGAGGCAAAGGACACTCTTCGGATCGCTAAAAGCCGGAACTAGTCGCCCACCTAGTTCAATTAGGTATACCAAAACAAATAAAAACAGACAATACAATCACTGATATTTTGTTTTTAGCTTGAGACAGGTTGAGTTTCAGGATGTTGAAAATAACGTGAAACTACCACCGTTGCGCAGCACGAGCAGCGTTTTCAAAGTGCCGAACCGTCTGCCACCCTGGAGGCTACCAGACTTTCCGTCGAGGGTCTCCTCGTCATTAAGCAACTGTAAGCTCCCAGTTGAGATAGTCGAGGTGTTATTACAGATAATTGGAAGTAATAAAGTTTCATGATAAAAACTTTCGTTGTTTTCTTTTTCTTTTTGTTATTCAATGTAATTCAATTTTTAAAATGTGAACGTTAGACTTGTACGGAAATTGAATTATCATGGAACTTTGTTTTAATAATATATTTTCCTGGTATACCTCATAGGACTAACAGCCCCTTTACCATCAAGCAATAAACCACTCTTCTTCTCCTTTTAGCTTTTCTAAACCTAAGAAAACACTAAAAATAATTAATATCATAAATTACTTCAGGTATTCCTTAAAATCAAAATATTTACAGTAAAATGTATACATTTTTTTAAAGTCAACCTTGGTCAATAATTTATAATTCAATGGCAAATATATTGTGAGATATTGTGTTGAAGCAAGTTAATGGACTTGTAATTTAATCATCTCTGATATCCTGGTCTTGTTATGTCTGACAGACTAACCAAATCAGAGCAAATAGGCAGGCTAGATCAGAGACAATAAAAATATTTTTGTTTTTAAATCATTTAAACTATGATGTTTTCACTAAACAAGTATCACTTTATTTTATTAATTGAAATTATACTTGATTTTTTTTTTTTTTTTTTTTTTAAAGTGCCAGAGGAGGTAGAAGTTGAACCACCAACTGACATAAGGTAATAATAAAAAATAAAAAAATAGCTTTAAAAATGGAGGAGTACATAATACACATATTCTATAATTCAGTCTAATTCTAACCAATAACTGGTAAAACTTAATGAAGTTTTGTTAATTAAAGGTGGTCTGAGATTCTTCGGCAGACACACAGCAGCCCGCAGGAGAGGACGGATTTCACCGAGAAGGTCCCTAGGCCTCGGAACCTTTCTGCGCTTACCTCCTCTTGGTACCAGAGGGAGAAAGCGAGCCTAAAAAATAAGAACTACTTGCGCAGGAAACACAGCAATTTTAAAGGTCTCGCTCCAAGGAACGACTCGATCAAAGAGTCGGACGAGAATGACGATGTGCAAACGCTTACGATCAATCATCCAAATAAATGCGTCAACTACTTTAAAACCCCGTCTATACAACCGCTGTTGAAAAGCAAATCGAGCACTGATATTGTAGAAGACAATAGGATCAATGAGAAGAAAGATGTTGAAAAACCAGTCGAAACAGTAACAATTATCGACCTTATAAACAAAATAAATGCACTGCACGATAATTGTAAGTAAATTGTTATTTTCTTAAATAAATCACTTAAACAATAAATTATTTATTTTTACAATAAAATACAGGCGGGAAAGAAAATTCTCTCGAGCAAGAAGTTACACCGATTCTAACTGAGCTCTACCCTAAAGTACAGAGCGAGATGACACATAAAGGAAGCAACAAAGTACAAAGTCTGATTTTAAAATCACTTTATAAATATGTAGAAAATGCTAGTGACCCTCTGCTCTTGCAAATATCAAAAATCATACTGGCTGTAAGTTATTTTAATATAATTCACCTTGTATTTACTTGTTTATTGATTTATATAAACTCGACTTGGCACACATCTCACATACATACACAAACATACAGGTTAAAATAAAATATTACTAATCTAATGAGAGTCGATGGGGTACTGAATATTCCACAATCAGCCCTCTCGCGTTACATTCACGCTTATAAATACATTCAATTTTAATATGCATGAACATATCTATCCATACTACAGTAAAGCAGCCCTGTTTCATATAAAAAGTACAAACAGGGTCCCCAAATCCTTGCTCAAGCACAATTCTCATATCAAGTGGCATTCCTTCCCATGGTGGCCAAGGAATGGTATACTTCAATCAAGTAGGACACATCAACCTTTCTCTAAATGTCCGACACGTACACAGGACTTTGGCCCAAGAGCATCTTCTAATTTATAGTTTCATGTACAGTGTTTAACATACCAAAGTAGTAATGACTAAACTTGAAACAAACTAAAGGCTAAAGTATGCTACAACTGTTCCCTATTGTTGTTATTATAATTCTATCACTAGTATTACCATTCATTCTTCTATTATCTTACAAATTTATTTCTTCTACTATTTCTACTTCTACCATTAATTTTTTGCTCCTGCACATGTTGCTCCTAAAACTACTACTTATTATTCATAATAATTTAATTGCTAATTAAGTTACTATTTTGTTTTTCAAATACTGTTCTGTTTCTATTTTGCACAGTAGACTAATATTGGTTATGGTACATTAGGTGAAAAAAGAGGCTGACTCATTTTAACCTTTAACTCCTACTACTATGAACTACCATTTTATATTATGACTGATATAGTACCTACAAATGTTACTAATCCTCTAGATACAACTACTATTTGTTACTTCTACCTTGAATTCTTCTATGATTATTACAATTATTATTCCGCTTCTATTATCTACAGAAGATACTTAACCTCATGCCACTATCATTTTGTTTCTATTTTGCACAACAGACCAATTATTGGTTGGAGTGTGATTGGCCAAAACGAAGCAGACTCCTTTTTTACCTTTAAGAGCTACAATCACTACCTATATTTTTTAGTTTATTAGTACTAGTGTACAGTACCTACAAATATTACTACTACTGCTTCTTTACTATTAGATACCACTATTATATAATTAATACCATATTCTTCTTATCTACAATGCTACTCTGCTACTCTTTTGTTTTTCAGCTACTGTTCAGTTTCTGTTTTGCACCATAGGCTAATATTTGTTGCACTAGGTTGTAAACAGGCCTTTTAATCTTTAACTTTTAATCAATACTATTACTAACACTGTTGTTCAATTACTACTAAAACAGTACCTACAATTTACAACTTGCAATCATATTGCTACTATTACTACCATAGTATAGTATGGTATTGTTATTAGTATTACTATACCATGAATTCTTCTATTATTACTACAATTATTATTCCACTTCTAATATCTACAGATGATAATTAACCTCATACCGCTATCATTTTGTTTCTATTTTGCACAACAGACCAATATTGGTTGGATTGTGATTGGCCAAAACGAAGCAGACTTTTTTACCTTTACGAGCTACTATCACTACTTATATTTTTTATTAGTATTAGTGTACAAATATTACTACTGCTTCTTTATTATTAGGTACCACTGTTATATAACTACTACCATGAATTCTTCTTATCTACAATGCTTGTACTCATGCTGCTACTGTTTTGTTTTTCAGCTACTGTTCAGATTCTATTTTGCACCATAGGCTAATATTTGTTACACAGGCCTTTTAACCTTTAACTTTTAATCAATACTATTACTAACGCTGTTGTTTCAAATACTACTAAAATAGTACCTACAATGTTACAACTTGAGGTCATATTGCTACTATTACTGCTCTACTACCATGAATTCTTCTATTATTGTTAAAATTATCATTTGCATTTTACTTTCTACTGCTGTTACCACTAATATTACTTCTTTTGTTAATTATGGTCAGATACATACCGGTCTGCCTATTCAAAGCTAATTTGTGAAGTTATATCTGTAAAACTGGTTTGTTTATCCAGTGAGAATGGGCAGACAAGGAAGAACTGAGGAGTTCAAAGTATTTTATAGATTTCAACGTGTCTCAAAGTTTTAGATTGAATTTTTTTTTCAATTTACATTTCAGCTCAGAGTCAAAGGTCCGAATTTGTCCTCGGTAACAAAATTGATATTCAAAGTTTCAAGGAGCGATAAAAATGACAGTTTGTTCCTCGAGGGAGATTTATTAGGTGATTTAAACTAATTGTATCCTTTTTTTTATAGATTTATTTATTATATTATATTGCAGAGCTGTTTGTCGAGTCTTTGGGTAGGGCAAGTCCCATCGATGATGCTGAAGCTTGCATTTACGGCTATGGAGCTCTGAAGTTCCTCACGATGAACCAACAACTCCTCCTAGTCGCCCTCCGATTGGGAATTTTAGATTTGATGGTCTTGCATCTCAAAATTGTAAATAACGCTGTAAGTTGGTTGAATTATGATGACTGTCGATGATCAGTTTTTAATGAATTTTTAAAAAATATTATTATTGATCAGAGGCTAGAGTTGTTAGCAATACCAGAACAAACGAGCCACGCTATGTTCCAATTAACTGGGACATTGAGGAATGTGGCCAGTGAGGAGATCACTTTAAGCCATTTTGTTAAAACAGGAGCGATCGGACAGCTTTGTACATCAATGGAGTTATTTTCAGCTGATCTTGACTTAGTGAGCAACCTTGCCAGGACGATAAGGTAAATTAGTAAAGTAAAATTAAAAGGATCACGCTAATCATTTTTTTATAGCATTTTGTCCACACACAACGAGTGCTGCGATTCCATCATTATGCACGAAAACAGCTTCCGTTCAATAATCAAAATATTCAACAAGTATCCTGGAAGGCAAGACATAATAGTGAGATTCGCCTACGCTCTTGGGAACATCATTGCTAAAAGTGAATCAGCCAGATACAAGGTATATAAATTTTTAAATTTATTAATTTATTCATTTTATAATCAATATTTTGTGCTTTTTGCTAATAATTTATGTTTTATGTGCTTTTGTAGCTTTATAAAGAGCCTGGATCTATGACGGCGATTTTGAACATTTTAGAGAATTATCTTGATAAAGATCTAGAACAAATGAAAAAAAGTGGGTTGAACAGCTTGAAACAAAACAGCCCCGAATGGGCTTCTGACGGTTCCATCGAAGATGTCATAATCAAGGTAATCAAAACATTTTGGACTTTTTATATTATTTACCCTCTGACAAAAATGTACAGATGATAAGAATAGTTGCGAACATGAGCATGAATTATGATGTTGGAATCGGAATGACATGCGTGAGCTACATTTACGATGACACCAATAACGACGTTGGCACCATCGATCAACAGAAGGCTCAAGTAAGCTTTAAACTTTGTCTTAAACTTTAGACCTAACCTTATAATTTTTTTTTAACTTCAGGACGGAGGAAGATTTTTAGACCTTCTGTTGATGGTCTTAAGACGAAAGTCGGCTGCAGAGAGTGAAGAACTAGTCATGTCGACCCTCAGCACGCTCAACAACCTTTCGTACTATGCAGAGCCCGATGCAGCGTCCGAAGGACCTTTCGCTCTCAGGCAGATAGAAATCACCCAAGTCCTGAGCACACTTCTACTCACGAAAAACGAAGAGAGCATGATTGAAGTGACAAGAGTTTTGGGCAACCTGACCAGATCGAAAGAAGTCAGAGATTACATTTTGGAAATTGGAGGTATATACTGATCAACAAGTTAGTACAAAGCAGATATGAGATTTTTCTTTAAAATTCCAGGAATAAGCCAGTTAGTCCGGTGTCTTGAACACGAGAATAAAGAGCTTTTGTTCACGACGACCGGTGTCCTCGTGAATTTAATGGCAGATTGGGATAAGCGTCTTGCATTCAAGGAAGCACACGGAGTGCAAAGGTCTGACAGAACTTAAGGTTTTTAAAAGCCGCATTTTAAGACTTTTGTTTTTAGGCTGATAGTAGTGCTTAAGCAGTCTTGCGAAGGAGACTGGCGTCTGGCAAGCTTGGTATGCCAGGCTTTGTGGAATTTCTGCATCGACTCGACCCACTTATACGCCGCGCTTGGGATCCAGCCGACGAACAGCTTGCTGGCCGTTTTGGTCGATCTTCTCGGTACAATTGGTAAATTTAAAAAAAAAATAATAACTCATAAAAAAAATTTTTTTTAGATGAAGAAAAATTGTTTGGCGTTACCGAAGGTTCGGAAGTACCGGACAGGATATCGGAAAGCGCCGAATACAGACTTTGGGAACAGTTCGCCAACGTCGCGACGAATCTACTGGAAAAAATTGAACAGTATTTGGAAAATTTGCAGGCCTTCAACGAAAAATAAGTCCCGGATTTTAAGATTTGTATTATTGTATTTTATGAATTGTAAGCATTTTAGCCAATGTAATAACTCAATGTAGATAGCCATTAAAAATAGTGAAACTGAGAATTTTTTTAACTCTGTTAAATACTTCTTGTTAGATATTAATAGTTCTAATGATTAGATAAAACTTTTTTCTTGTATATTTTTTCATCTCATGTCCAATGTGCTTTAAGCTTATTTTGTTAAACAAGTTGTTTAAATAAATTTTACTCTGAATTGTATTACCCAATTAAAGAATACCCAATATCCTTTCAAAGGGCGTCGGAGGCTGCAACGGTTTAAGCGTTGTCACGGCGCTCATTACTGTAAGGTAAAGGTCCCGGGTTCGAATCCAGCGGCCCTGCATTCCAACCCAACATACTTACCATTTTTTTTATATATATAAAAACACCGACACCCCGAGAGTTGATATAACCTCTGCTGTTGCGAACTCTCGTAAAAAAAAAGTTTTTGCCTTAAACTTTCAAATTCATAAAGTATCGATACATAATCAGTATACTTGTAAATAAAAGTAAATATTGCAATAGAAAACAGTGTATTTTCACATAACAAATTCTATGAAATTAAAAAATAATAAAAAAGTTACGACTATTGAAAACATATTTCAATTTATCATGTTTAATAGATTACCATAACATAAATTGCATATTATGTTGTAATTTTTTCTGCACTAACAGTGTTTTCACTGAACTCTATAAATTTCTTTGCAGACAATTAAAAGAACACATTAATTTCCAAATATGTCATCATGATCTGGAAAAGTTTTAATTAATAAAATAATGGATTATGAAATATTTAAAAAATTAAACGTACCTAAATCCAGGCTTTAAATTTTTGCGCCATTATTTCAGCGCAGTGCCAAAGAACAAAGCCAAAAATTTCCCACGTTAGGTTGTTTATATTTCCTTTTGAAGAAAAAAAATATTTTTTTTATGTTTCTATGGTCGCCAAACCAAAAGTTATTTACCATCGTTGTTGCACCGTGTGTTTATCAACATCTCAGTTGTGTTTTCTTCGTTTTCTATCCGGATCGGCAGCGATGAAGACGGATTGGCCATGTTCGCCGTGGCGATCGCCTTCCACGGAGGGAACCCGGAAAGGGACACGATGCACACGAGGAAAATGGTTCCTCCAGGGCCTAAGAACAGCTCATCCCGTGCCAAAAGCTTTAAGCCCAAAATCCGCCTGTAAAGCCCACCAGGGCCAACAACTTCCGTGTACTCGTGAACCAAAAACTTATCAGCCTAAAAAAAAAACGTACTCACATTTACGAAAATTAAACTATAAAAAGTACAACAAGTTTAAATAAATTCCGCAATATTTATATATTTCAATGGTTATACTCAATATTATAACGATTCATTTAATACCGCTCTTGATGGAAAACCTTCAGATGATTTTTGTCGTTACCAAAATTATTATTGTTCTTGTTTTTGAAAAGCCAATCCGCCTTGGGGGCACAGATATATCCATTAACCACCTTGAACATATTATATATATCCCATTTGTTGAGAAATTTCTATTTTAAATATTATTATTTCTCCAAACTTGTTTTGTTCCTGTATTTCTATGTAAAAATAGCTCAAAACGATTAAATTAGTATTTATTTTGTTACTATTAATTCAACCCTGGTGGGAACTAGGAGGTAAAGTGTGAAGTGAAAAATAATAAAACATTTAAGTGAATAGAACAGTTGAATTGCACGAATATTTAATCGAGTTATTTTGCCAATAATTACGTAATATTAGGGGCGTCGGTGGCCGCAACGGTTTAGGCGTTGACACGGCGCTCATCACTGTAAGGTAAAGGTCCAGGGTTCGAATCCAGCGGCCCTGCATTCGAACCCGACATACTTACAAATGGGCCTTTTTTTTCAAAAACACCGTCTCACCGAGGGTTGATATAACCTCTGCTGTTGCGAACCCTCGTAAAATAAAAAAATATAAAAAAAATTACGTAATATTTTTTTGGTGGTTGGGCGTAGCTGATTTGGTCGTCTTTGTCGAACAGACCAAGTTGAATGTGGATAGTTTATTAGTTACTGACTAACCTAACTGGCTAAATGTTGGCTAATCAACTGTACTAATTGAGCTATTCGCTTTTTCCTCGAATAGGCGTAGATCAGCTGAGTGATTTTATGAAATTTGATGGCTTGGCATAGACGAAGTTAGTGCGCTTTTTGATTTAACATATCTAAGTTGCTCTATGTCGTTGCGAAGTTGGTAGCAGTTTAGACTGTTGAACGATTTTACCGATTCAGCGGGGAAAAGTTGAGTGAGTTTGGTGTGGGCGTGGTTAAATTTGTCAAATGTATTGATTGGGCGTGGCTCAGTTGATTTAATTAGGTGTTGGGGCGGCAAGTTGGTTAAGCGCACTGGATTGTTCACGTCTAAGTTGGTGGAACTTAGCTGATCGACTTGCCTTATTGGACGTTGTTAAGTTAATCATCATGGCAGATTAGACTAACCTAACAGCTATCTAATTGGTCAACTTTATAGCTTAGTTGTGCAGCTTTGCAGAATAGGCGTGGCTTTTTTTTTTGTGTCACCTTATAGTCTAGAATTTTCATCACGTGTCTACAATCTCTTTTGGTCAAGGGCACACGTTCCTAAATTTGGACAGCGGGAGAGTGATAAACCCTATTTACTAACGTTACGTACTAACGACAATACTATTTTTTATGATCAAATGACTTTTTTAACAATCTAGAAAATTGTTCAATGAAGATAAAATGCGCGTGGCTAAGCAGTGCCGAATTTACGGAGTGGGCGTGCTTAATGTGTGTAGAATTTATCGAATGGGCGTGGCTAAATTGTTTCGAATTCACTTAGTGGGCGTGGCTAAGTTTTGTCAAATTAACTGAGTGGGCGTGGGCTAAGATATACCAAATTAATTGATCAGGCGTGGCTAATTTGGTCAGTTTGTACAGTTTTGGCGTGGCTTAGTTGAACGAGCTAGACAATTAGTTCAATGTGTTGTTATTTCGAAAATATTTAAGCCTCGTTGCTTCTATACTTACGAAATATCCGTTAACGAACCACGACAAAGTTGGAGGAGGGTTGGACGGAGGCGCAGTGCAGTTTGCATGGATGATGTCTCCAGCTTTGTAAACCGAGTTTAATCCCGTTATCACCGGTCCGCTCATCGGGTAAACTGTAAATAGTTTTTTGTAAATATTAACAACTATTTTTAAACTTGTTATATTTAAAATAGTAAAATCTTCACCAATGACTGACATATTCTTGCTGCTCATGACATTCTGAAGAACGGTCGAAGCCTCGCACGTATAAATGCCAGCCGATTGGACCGTGACATTGTTCAGTTTGACCGTTGTGTTTTTACAGGCAACGTCCTGATAAATAATAAAATTTTAATTTGTATTAATATTGATAAAAATCGATGGAAGCAAGTAATTTCGTGGTGCAACGAAAGAAAATGTAATGACCTTTGTATTGAGACCGTTGATTTCCGTCTGGTATAAATTCGGCGTCTTGTACGGTGAAAGTGTACAGAACACTTTACCATCTTTGTACCATTTGATGTACTTCAATTTGGACCCGTTCAAATCGAGTTCGCATCTCAGGGTGGGTGAACTTCCCAGTGAGACTTTGTCCGGAACGTCAAGCCGTTTGAGAACGAGGGGTTGAGCACCTACAAAAAACAAAATAAATGCTGACACCTATCCGGTGATGTTCGTTCGATTCGATTTTCGTGGCTCGTGAAAAATTCCTATATTTCACCCAAATAATCAATAAATATCATATTCCTTCTGGCAGATCCCACTCCACGAGTTATATAGCGGAGACTAGGATGACAGAATTGAATATATATGTACAACTTGCAGAGAAAGAGAAATGGGTATGATAGAGGAAAAAGGAGGGTGAGAAATGGCAAAAGTGTGAGATATAAAACATGACAATGACTATCAAATAATTTAGTTCCTTCTATATTTTAAAAATATTTTTGTATTTACAAATGTATTCGTGATAAACTTAATATATTTTTTTATATTTTTCTATCATGAACTTTTGAGTTTTTTTTTAGTTGGAAAGAAGATTTCGAATCATTTTTTTAATTGTTTAATTATTAATGTAATAAGTTAATAAGTAAAAGTTAATAAATTAATAAGTAATAAAGTAAAAAGTAAGTTTTAATTGTTTAATCTAATAATTTAATTATTTTATAATTTGTTGAAGTTTTAAGGAGCGGTCAGAAATGAGATAGTTTAAAAAAACACCATTTTAATTTTTTTGCCGATGTTTCGACCTTTATTCCGGTCATCTTCAGGGCATAAAGTGAGATGCTATTCTTGTGGTGTCATATTGGTTTTGTGTGAAAGTGTTATGAAACAACAGATCACTCAGAAATACACTCTTAATTATTTTAATAATCTATTAATTTAATTATTTTATAATTTATTGAAGTTCTAAGGAGAGGTCAAGAATGAGATAGTTTAATAAAATACCATTTTAATTTTTTTTGGCCGACGTTTCGATGTTTATTCCGGTCATCTTCAGGGCATAAAGTGAGATGCTATTCTTGTGGTGCCATATTGGTTTTGTGTGAAAGAGTTATGGCATAATTAAGAAATACACTCTTAATTATTTTATTTTTTTAATAATCTAATAATTTAATTATTTTATAATTTGTTGAAGTTTTAAGGAGCGGTCAGAAATGAGATAGTTTAAAAAAATACCATTTTCATTTTTTTTGCCGACGTTTCGACATTTATTCCGGTCATCTTCAGGGCATAAAGTGAGGTGCTATTCTTGTGGTGTCATATTGGTTTTGTATGAAAGTTTTATGAAACAACAGATCACTAAGAAATACACTCTTAATTATTTTATTTTTTTTTAATAATCTAATAATTTTTCTTACCTTCAATTTGGATTTATAGTTTGAGAAGTAAGCAATAAGTTTTATTTCTGTTCGAGTTATACTTTTATTTAAAACATTAAACTTTGGGAGTTAATTAACATACCTAGAAAGTCTTGAAAAAGGCACAAGAGGACTAAGTTGAACGGTGGCATCACAAAAGGGTTTTTGTCACGCCAAGAGGCCCCTTAACTACTGTGAAAACGCCGGCAAACATCGTCCGCACATGCTCGATATACAAATTAACGATCAACTGAATTTCCATTCAGAATTTCCCGGAAGTCTTTTACCAGGGTGGTTCGATATTTTTTCTGGTGGGGAAAAACGGGTCAGAAAACTTTCCTTTGCCTTTTTATTGTCAATTTATTATAAATATATGTACATAGTTGTGTTTATAATTTGTCGACGGATAGGCCGTTGTTGGTGTAAGCGTGTTCTGTTTTGTCCCCTTTCTCATCCTTTTCGACGGCCCAAGGCTGTCTTTCTGCAGACGCGAAAATACAGTAGAAGATCGCTCCTATCAGGTATATCGTGCTGGCTATGTAAAACACGACTTTCCACTCCTCTGCGCTCTGAAAATGCAAATTAAAAAAAGTTTAAATAGGAAAAGTGTACATTTCAAAATGCAGTTAAAATTCAGATCAATTTCAACGATTCTCGGAGAATAGAGACGTCATGTGATCATCAATAGAATTACTACGAATCCGAAAAAGAGGAAGATTGGCACTCAAAAATTATCAAAATATCGTGATGTTGAAAATATAAAAACTCCAAAGTAGCAACGAGATTTTATAAGAATACAGGTTATTCATTCTTTCTTTATTCAATTTTTCGTGATATCTATTGATTTCAATATGGGGTTTTGTATCAGATTGATTTACAAGCTAGGAATGTGAAACAATTAAAAAGGATCATAAATATTTTGATATTATCGATTTTAAGATATCCTATAATATTTCGATATTATCGCTGATCGATAGTCATAAGTCTAACAACAATTTATCAGTGGTCGATACGCATTGATATTATGAAAAAATAATCTTTTATTTTTAGACGGCGATTTTTAATCCCTATCGATTATTTATACTCTTTAATGTATCAAAATCATCGATTGATAATATGTTTGAACATATTGATTGATTTCGGAAAGAGTTAGAAGTTTCTTAATAGACATCAGTCATTAAATTGTTCATTAGTTTAATATTAAAATTAATTAGACATCGATATTATTTGATTTTTCTATATTAACATGGATATACTTTATGGCTGGGTACATAAATTTTTGTGGGTGACCATTTTCGCCACACCGATTTTGCGTTATGGAATATGCATAGCTAGTTGGATTAGGAAAAGTTAATGTTAGGATTAGGAACGTGTTTGGCTAAGGGTTAGAGTTTGAGTTATGTACTAGTTAAGTTTGATGAATTAGGGTTAGGTTTAGGGACGAGTTAAGTTAGAATAAGTTGGGTAAGAATTACGTAAGAATAGGGACGGGTTACGTTAAGGTTAAGGACGAACAATGGTATATTACGCATGGTTAGGAACGTTTTTGGCAAAGGGTAGGTAGTGTTAGAGTTTGAGGTATGTACTGGTTAGGTTTGGTGAAGTAGGGTTAGGTTTAGGGACAAGTTAAGATAGAATAGGTTGGGTAAGAATCAGGGAAGGTTAAGAACGGGTTACTTTAAGGATAATGGTAGGTTACTTAGGGTTAAAGTTAAAGTTAAAGTAACGTAGGGTTAAGTTAGGATAGGTTGGGTTAGGCTGAGGAACTGGTTAGGTTTAATTAGAAATGGTTAGGGTTAGTGTTAGAGTGAGGGAACGGTTACATTTGATTAGGTAGGGTTAGGGTGAGTGACGGGTTAAGTAAGATGTTAGGTTAAGTTTAGTTAGGTAGGGTACATCTAAGATTCAATATTTTTCCGTGAAGCGGATGAAATATACGATTGCGGAAAAATAATAAACTAGATAGGAATCGATGTATCGATATGAATGCTTTTCGATGTCACACATTAATCTGTTTTATAAGTAATCTATGTTCATCGATATTTCCACATATTTGGTCGTTTATTCATAGAAATCGATTTGAATTGTCAATTATCGATATGCATGAATATTTCAATATGTAATGATCGAAACACATCAATATTTCGATAATAGATTATCGCTATGAATCGATAATTTAATATTAATTAAAGTGATCGACCATCATCTTTAGCATCGATGCTATCGATTTTAATAATATCGATCGCAGCCTGTAGAACTGGTAGAAGCTAGAGAAGCTTATGAAATCATGAATATCAATACTGTATATATGTATATTACCAAAAACATTATCAACAATACAAATAAAAATATAGTAAAAAATATATAAAGTATAAATACAATACAAAAAATATCTCACAATTAATTAAGGTTTTTAGTTGAGATAAAAAAGTCAGTGTCACGAGCGGGATTCGAACCCACGATCTTCGGCTTGATACGCCGCTGCTCTACCACTTGAACTATCGTGACCTCGATCCACTCGGACACCAACTTCCTATCTCAACCCCACCTTTTGAGTTTTCCCTCCTTTTTGCCATTTTTCAAGAACAAAAAATATCCTTCGCTCGATTGTTTTTTAAGTGTGTTATATCTATATTTAAACAGTTTCTTATTTATTTACTTCAACATACTTATATTCTATACGGATCTTTCAAAAATAAATTCTGTCCAAATAAGGTTTTTTTACCTTGTTAGTAACAATGTAGCCGGATATTAGAGGGCTGATTATTCCGGGCAGTGTTGCAAATGTATTCGACATACCCATTAGGACGCTAGCGTGCTGAGGGGCCAAATCTAAATGGTTCACGCTGAAATTAAACAAAAATAAAGTTATCAGATGTTCATATATTTAGAATTAAAATCCAACCTGAAAGCAGGCCAGGCCAAAGCGCCCAATCCAACTGCGAAAACCAGGCATGTCACCACTCCGGTCGCGGTCAGTAAATACGATGCCAGCATCATGAAAATCGTCTGAGATAAGAAAGCTGTACAGTTAAACAATTTTCTCACCTGAAATTAGATTTAATTACATACTGGTCTGATTGAAGCAGGTCATAAAAATTTTTAAAAACTTACGTTAGTGGTCGACATTATTTTTTTATTACACAGCCAATCGGATAGGTGCCCGGCGAATTGCATTATGATCGCCATGACTAGGTAAGGAACTGAAGAAAGGAAACCAGCTTTTTGCAGATCGAAATTCAAAGTATCTGTGGAATTGAGGTAAAGATTTTTCCTTAAAGACACGTTTCTGGTACAATTCGATTTAAAATGCAAATAATAGCTGACCAGCCGGTTTTTTTCCTTAATTACAAACATTTAACAAGCCAAGAGTATAATTTAAGCTTTCGGAAAGTTCGGCTTTTAGAAACGTACCTTTCATGAAGGTCGGAAGCTGAGTGAGGAGAGTGTAAAAGCCCCAGTTTTCGCAGAAATGGGCCATCACAACGGCCCAGACGGGCATCGATTTCACGAACTCGCCCCAAGGATGCGTATGCTGAAATCGATTAGAAAACTGTGTTATTTGGATGAAATATTGATTATTATTTTTAATTGTCTAGTATTTTTAATTATTCTATACTGTTCGATGTTTGGTACGTTGTACTGGCAAGCATTAATATTTAAATTTATTAATTTAACAAAAAATCCCATTATATTTCTTGTTAATTTAAATTAGAAATTAAACTTTATTATGGACTATCCATATCAGCTAAGACCGTGCAGCAAAATCGACCAAGTTAGCCACGTCCACTTTGCCATCATTGAATAATATCTACATTCAGAATACAAATGAAAAAAAAAATTCATTAGATATATAAAATAAAACAATAACAAGGTTTAAATTACTTTTAACCTAAATAATGCCCAGATACTAATCCTGACACGCTTAGCCACGCCCATATTGTAAAGTTGACTATCTAGGCCACGCCCAAATAGTAAAATCAGTCATAGTAGACACGCCCACTTTGTCCTTGCTGAATTATATCTTAGATTTTATTTTTATATCCACTTCAAAAGAGTTCAAAAGTTAAAATTTTCTTGAGAAAATTAACTTTTATGCTCTTAAGAAAAGCTAGACTGTCCCGGACAAGTTTATGCATGAAAAAAATTCTATTGGATTATTAATTGGAACTTGTAAGTTTTAATTTTACTGTTAACTTAAATCACGATCAGATTTTAAAACCGATAAGTTTAGCCACGCCCTTATAATAAAGTCAGCCAACTAGACACGCTTCGGCGACATTTGACAATTCTGAATTTATAGTTAAATTTCTTGAAAAAATATGTTTTCACATTATGATAATATTGTGGAATAAATTATTTATTAAATTTTAAATACCAAGAAAAAACCAACATTAACGTAACACCAACGTAAAAAATTTAAATGATAATGTCCGGGTTATAAGCATGGCGAGGCGAGTTGACCTTTTCCTTTTCTCCACGTTTTCTCATTGTGAGTCGCATTGTACTCTCCTCTTCACATTTTCTGTAGTGTTCTTGTCCAAAATCGGCTTTTAGACCGATTTTCATGTATGAACAACTTGTTTGCTTGAGCCTGACTAATCTTGCCAGATTTTCCTAATGTTTTAAATTAAAATATAATTAATAATTACAACTGCTTAATTAAAACCTTAGAGAAAAGATAGAGAGAATTTATTTTGATAACGTACGTTTTTACGGTTTCCGAGAGTATCTCTCAGATATGTCAGCTCTGACTCTGATATTCTTGGATCATTTTCTGGATCGTCTTTGACCTGGTACCACCAAACGACTGACCATATGAGCCCGACGACCCCTGAAATACGTTAAACCTGCGTTAAATTAATTAATTTATTGAATAAAACGAATGAGTTTACTACCTGTAACGTAGAAGACCGATGGCCATCCGCAATGCTTGCTGAGCATGCCAGAAACCGGAAGGGCGACCACTGTGCCGACGTAGCTGCCGGAAAAGGCTAGAGATGCCATTGCAGACCGTTCGGATGGAGGGGCCCATCTCGCCCAAACCGAGTGCATGCAAGGATACGTCACGCCCTGGAGAAAGACTACAAATGATCAATTTTTGAAAAATTTAATAGTACGAGTGTTTAATAGTGAGGTTGACTAGAGTTTCATCCCTACTTCGAAAACCCCTTCGATCACTCTCAAAAAGACGAGATAATAAACAGAAGTGTTGGCTATCGGCGGGGTTAAAAGCGTGAGGAGTGCTGTCGTCGAAACCCCAAGCATGTAGATTTTGGCTCCGCCGTACCTGTTACCGAGCCAACCGCCGAGGAGCTGAGTACATATATATCCGTAGAAAAACGAGCTCAGCACCAGACCTTTCGTCTTGGAATCCCAGTCAAAATCGGTTTTCTAAAAGCCAACAGAAGGATTTATTTAAAAAAACATCTCATGTCTTTTAAAACCAATCTACCTCAACAGTAGTGCCATTCTCTAGGGTCACGTTGTACGGAGACGTCATAGCGACTATAGCGACGCTAAGGTTGACCCTTAGTGAATATATGTTGAAAAATCCGAAGAAAGCTAGCAAAGCTACGACATGCCTCCTTCTTTCCCAAAACTTCCATCTTGAAGAACCCTGTCGGCTGCACGAAGGTTAAAAAATTAGAAATTCTTAAGAACGTACACAGTATAATCCAGTATAATAATTTTTGTTTTAATATAGAGCAAACAAATGTTTCTTCCAGTAAAGATGACAAAGTTAAAACTGCCATATTCAACCACGCCTAACATATAAATTTGGCCCTCTTGGCCACGCCCACTTTGGCCTGACTGTACTATATTCGAATATGGTCCAAATTAATTGGGATATTAGTTACTGAGACTTTATTTGCTCTATATAAAAATAGACTTATTTAGCCATACCTACACGGTAAAATAGATTTTTTAGCCATGCCAATACAGAAAAATCCACGTATTTAGCCAACCCAATGGGTGCAAAAATAATTATTTAGCCACGCCCACTCCGAAAAGTAGATCATTTAGCCACGCCCACTCCGAAAGTAGATCTATTTAGCCACGCCCACTCCGAAAATAGATCTATTTGGCCAAGCCCATATCGTAAAATTTGATATACCCTGGCACCTTACGGTAAAACCTAACGGTAGCCCAAGTATACGGTTTAACCAAGTTTAACAACCAAAGTTCATGATAAGAAATGTACTACCATATGCACTCGGTGAAATGGGCATATTTAGCTACTCCCTATATCACACTTGCCAACTTTGGTGTTGTAGAATTTAACCCGAATATATTACATTTTATTTCAGTTCAACGTGTCCTTTACGATTGAAATGGCCAATTTGGCCGAATTTGTTTCCGTGTCTAGTAAATAATTTTGGGAATTTTTTTCGCTTCAATCAAAGTATTTTTCCTGGCGTAACAAATTGGGTTTTGTAATAGTAATGAGATAATTGGTTAAATATGAAAATACTCTTTTATAAAGACATTTTTGATGGCCTTCCTTTTCATTGCTGTTGTTATTGAACATATTTTTATTGTTATTATAATGGATTCCTTTAAGAGCGATTTTTTGGAGTAGACAGAACTCATTTTTCCAAACATTTTTTTAATAATGAAATATCAATTGGATTTGTTGTTTTTTAACAATCTAAGACACTCACTCGGTTTCTGATAGACCGTGACCCCTTTCACCGATGCGGAAGCATTTCATTTTGAACTTTTAAAAAATTTGATTAAAGCTTTGCTTCTTGTGGTTTTCACTTAACTGTCCGTCGGTTTTGTTAGCCAATTGGAAAAATAATAAAGCGGGGTCGGGCAAATTTCCACGCGAGCGTTTTGCAACTTCCGGGAGAAAGGATAATGCTTGTGTTTTTATCCTTGATTGTTCGAAAAACAAACGGCACATTGACTTTACGATCTGGCCAGTTTTGTAATATTGATTTGGATTGACTGTTATTCAGAGTTAAATTGATATAAAAAGTGAAAGTTTAAGGTCGAGATTTCTTTTTGACACGACCTACTCCTGATTGTTCATTAATGGATACAGCTCGGGAATATCGGCCGCTTTTTTCCCAATGAGATCCCTGCAATGTAAAGTATGTCAAACCTGATAGAAAATTGCATCAGATTTTATTGTTATCAAATAAAATAAAACATTTGTGGTGGAATGCGCCTGGACCGTGGCCTTCGACGAGTTGAACTTCTCATATAACGAGTCGCCCTTGGGAAATAAAGCTTATCCGAACTCCTCCACTTGCTAAAACCGGCAATCTACGAAAAAGATTACAAAAATTGTTTTGTTTTTTTAAACGAACAAGCGCAAACATTAACATCAAATAGGTAAATTTTTTCCTTGAACAATTGATAATAATATACAATTATTAAATCAAAGACAAATGAAATATTATTTTTAATAAATGCAAGCCGTGAGAGTAAAAACAAAGTTATAACACACGTAATAACTTCACTAGTTTCGTGGTCCGTTTGACAAATTAATATCATACAATTAATTAAGGTTTTTAGCTGAGATAAAAAAGCCAATGGCACGAGCTGGTTCGAACCCACGATCTTCGGCTTGATACGCCGCTGCTCTACCACTTGAGCTATCGTGACCTTGATACATTCGGACACCAACTTCCCATCTCAAACCCACCTTGTGAATTTTCCCTCCTTGAGATGGGAAGTTAGTGTCCGAGTGGATCGAGGTCACGATAGATCAAGTGGTAGAGCAGCGGCGTATCAAGCCGAAGATCGTGGGTTCGAATCCCGCTTATGCCATTGACTTTTTTATCTCAGCTAAAAACCTTAATTAATTACACGTAATAACATCAATAAATATTTTCATAATCTTCGTTGATCAATTCTGGAAGAGGTTCACATTTTACGAAAACCGGCTAAGGTAAAAGGATTCGTGTATGGAACGAAATCACCCAATAAAGAGAATCTTTAAAATCTTCAAAAAAATTTTAAGCCCACACAAATACTCAATTTATTTTGTGGCGGTTTGTTTGTCTGTCTTATATTTATTATTATTCTATATCTTTATACTTATATAATAAATACTTTATTATGTATTATCTCTATCTAAATATCTATCTATCCATTTATCTACTTAGCCATCAATCTATCCATGCACAATTTATCTATCCATCCATATATCCATTTTCCTCCCTCTCTCTCTCCCTCTCATTTTCCTTTTTATTTCTCTCTCCCTCACCCTCTCTCTCATTTTTCCTCTTATTTCTCTCTCTCCCTCTCTCTCTCTCTCTCCTTTCTTTATGTTTCTTTTCGTATCTCTCTCCTCTCACTCTCCCTCTCGCTTACTCTTTTTTCTTTCTGTCTCTTACTCTCTTTTTTACCTACGTTTCTCTCTTTTCTCACTTTCTCTCTCTCTTTCTCTCTTCTTTTTTTGTTTCTTCTTTCTCTTACTCTCTCTTTTTCTTTATCTATGCTTCTCCCTTCTTTCACTCTCACTGTCTCTCTCTCGCTTCTCTCTCTCTCATCTCTCTTTTCTGTTTCGCTATGACTCTTTATTTCTCTCACTCTCCCTCTCTCTCCCCTCTATCTCTCACTCTATCTATCTATTCATCTATCTATTCAAATTGTAAATAAAGTTTTAAACATCATCATAATCACTCTCTCCTTTTCTCTTTCAATTTCTTTCGATTTGTATGTATGTGGATTTGTTAATACAATAAATGTATGTATATACACTTTGTTGTTTTTTTAAACAACTAAAATTCCGAGATTCTGTGTACATTGAGAAAGAGTGAAAGTACGCATAATGATGATGATGGATGGAAGTGTCAACAGTCTGTCCAAGCTTTCGACATAAATATAATACACGTAGCTTATTTATTTGTAAATACATAAATAAAAATCTTGTCGATATTATTTCCTTACTATTAATTACTTTTCATTTTAATGTGTAACTCACGTTCACAATATAAATTAAGGGTATTAAAATAAAAATCGTGATGTTTTTTAATTTTTTGTACGTTTCGAGCAATAACCGAATTTTCAGCCACCTTAACAGGCAACAAGATCGGAATAAGTAACTTATATTATCAGTAATATATAAATAAAAAATTATAGCGTCACTCTATTTTGATCTTGTTGAACATAGACCAATAATAAACGACAAAAAATAGAAAAAATACTGCGAATTTCAATTTTTTTTTTTTTTTTGATAATGTCATCCATCGTCTTTATGAATACTCTAATAAGCAAATTCAATTGGTAACAGGCTTTCGACCTATTTTAATTTTGTCAGTAACAACTAAATTTGCTTTTTCATAAAGAACATACTCTGATCCGGAGTATTCGTGATAGAAAGAGTGGTCGATTAAAATCATTTCTATGCCTGGGTCGATTAATCATAATTGTATATATACAATACGTTATATCTATATATAACCAAGAAATGACTATTACATTTCTTCAGAAAAACCCTCTTTTGAACAAATCTGTGATTTAAATCGGTACCCCCTCCCCTATAAATACCTTCACAGAGGAGACAGAGAAAGGTGATCAGATATCTAATACGAAGAGCCAGGAAAAATCAGTCAACAGGCGCTGAACACGTGCTGCTACATAAAAGCGGTTTCATGCTTACGTACATGTAACAGCGGACGTACCTCATGTACATGGTAGGAAACGAGGCAGGTCTCGAAGTACACGAGCCCGACGTCGACGTAGGTCTGATTTGAAAGAAAAGGGAAAAATCGTGGGTTTGCGCTTTTTAGCTGACAGAGGAAAAACAGTTTTATCCTTGAGAAAACAATCCTTATTTACCCTGAAGTAATGAACTACTTCGTCTGTTTCAATTTATTTTAATTTTATTTTTTTAATATTCCTGCCATTGGTAACTGGTGTTTTGTTGATTGTTTCCAAAATTTTAAAAATGAAGAATTTTATGAGTATTGAGTTTTTCAGAATTGCATATAATTCTGTTGATTTATGGCTGTTTTTCTAATTTATTGTTTACTTTTAATTCCACTATAGTATCTTAGGTTTAATCACTTTGGCTTTAGTTTGTTGTTTAGAATTTTTACTTAAGACTGGTACTTTTTGTTTTGTACCTACTAGCACTTTTGAAGATCAGGATCTTCTCTATGAATAAATCTATGTCTTAATTGATCTATACCTATTTTTAATAAAGACTATTAATTATCAATAAATTAAGGTTTTTAGTTGAGATTAAAAAGTCAGAGTCACGAGCGGGATTCGAACCCACGATCTTCAGCTAGACACGCCGCTGCTCTACCACTTGAGCTGTCGTGACCTCGATCCACTCGGACACTAACTTGTGTTCCCTTTTTTTAAGGGAAAAAATGGCAAAAAGGAGGGAAAATTCAAAAGGTGGCGTTTAGATAGGAAGTTAGTGTCCGAGTGGATGGAAGTCACGATAGCTCAAGTGGTAGAGTAGCGGCGTATCTAGCCGAAGGTCGTGGGTTCGAATCCCGCTCGTGACACTGACTTTTTTATCTCAACTAAAAACCTTAATTAATTGAAATATATTAATTGGTCAAGCGGACCACGAAAACTAGTGAACTATTATTTATTTTCCGTACAGGATTACAAGAATCTGGCTCTAAAATCATAATATTCACTAATGAAAAAT